TCATATTTTATCATTTCTTATTGTTGAACACCGTACAGACTGTCTGAGTTGTCTCTATTAAAGGTTCCAGTTCTCTCAGCTGGTTTAACTAGCTATAAAACCAGGTTTAATACACCATTTACTACATAAGGAAATGCCTGTACCAAGTCAGGAATATGACAGTTTTTTTCCATTCGATTGATTTGCTTGAGCATTTGATTTTGCCATTTGATAAGGGACTTTCCGTTTTGAATTTTCCTTGGAGTTTGGTATTTTTGTTATTTGACTTTTTCAATATATTTCTTAAAATCGGTTATATGATATACCAGTCATTGTTCAAATTGTATCTATGACTTATATCTATAGACGGTTCAAATGTCTTTTTTATAGACAATCTATCTAATGTTCTAGTCCTAGGACAGTTTTGATGACATGGCCCATGAATTCTATTAACATCAGGTGTCTTTGATAGTAATTAGGTTACCATGTTGGTTAAAATCCTTTTTATTGTGTAATAAATTTATTTACAGAAGAAATGAACAATGTGAAATGACAAAAGCATAAATGACAAATTGACAAATTGTTTAAATGTGCATAAAATTCCACATCTTTTCATCACATTGAAAGCTTCAATCTTTCCATACCATTGTTGAGCATTTATTATTAATTATATATATAAAAAAGAAGTATGTCAGATACTTGTACACATACAAAATGCATTGGTGTAGATAAGAAAGCATGTCACAATGACAACACGTTATTGGTTTTTTTTTTACATATTTTCGCAGCAATTTATACATTATAGGCCAGTTGAAAGTTCTTGTCTGTAATTCTAAATAAAATGAACACAAAATTTATTCGAATTGCATCCTTTACTAACGAAAATATATAAATTCAATTTTATATTTCATAAAAATTTGGTACATGTACATCTTGATAGTAATAATCATTATGTTTTAGTTTGAATGCAGCTAAGATAGTCAAAGAAAAAAAGCTCTTTATTACCAAATAAGAGGATGAAATAAGTAGTTTCAACTGGCCCGTAAACAATATTTTCATAAGTGTCGACTATATATAATAAAAATAGAAAAAATGTGCATTGGATGAAAAACCACAGTTTAACACGTACAAATACAAGAAATTTAATTTCTCTGCAAACATTTAACATAGGTTACATTACAAATCTTATGGCAAATGAATGGATGCTTCATGGGGAATATTATAATGGTTACAATAACCTATATGAAAAGTTGTATACAAATGTAATATTGTTGTTCATAAGCATTTGTGATATTTTGCAAAATTTGATAGAGGAAGTTCGGAAGGGGATACTTGATATAATGTATAATGCTAGATGCAAAAACTCTTTGCCGTGAAATCTATTATGAAAGAAGTTTCGAATCAACGTATCTGTCTGGAAAACGCTAAACTATTTATCCTAATGGTGTAAACATTTTAAGGTCTGAAAAGTCATGCCCGTAGTCAATTTTTTCTAGAGTCAAATAAATCATATTTGCATATTATGTGAAAAAAAAGTTCAGTTGGTTAAAAAAAAAATCATCATACATTGGTATGGGTAATCGGCACAACTATACCAACATTTTATGCAAGTATCCCCAGTATCCCCCCTCCTCATAGGAACTTGTCATTTTAGTGATATTTTTTGTCATGTTAACATGTAGATGCATCGCATTTTGCTTTGTTAATGATAACTTTTAATCAAGTAAACGGGTTCTACCATATATTCATCATTTTTTCAGACATACCATTTCTCACATTCATAAAATGTGCTAATAATACTATATTCTACTGTGCTTATTGAGCAGTATCTTCATTTAAGTATGTACAAAGTGAACTGAATATTTGCATATACCATAGTCGCCCTTTAATTGATATACTTTAAAAATGAATTCGGATTTTAATAAACACATTATGTAATTTAATCCCAATATCGTTTGAATTTTTTGCCTCGTTTTAATACATCCGTAAGTCTATTTTCAATATTTGTGGTGGGCTATAAATTTTACGCTTTCGTTTCCTTTCCAGGAAACGTGTATGAAGGTGGGCAAAATTTCTTTCAAAATAATAAAAAGTCATCTTATAACCAGCTTTTTCCAGAAGCATGCCCAATGTGTATAATTGATGAAAAATCCGACCAACTTATAGGGGGTATATTTATAACCCATTTAAAAGTCATATTGGACCAAATATACATATTCATACAGTTTACACAAGTTTATATGGTTGACAGACTGTGATACCATACCCTATAATACACTGAAAACTCACCTTATTTTCAAGCAAAGGAAATAACTCGGTTCAATTCAGTTAAAATAATGAAAAAGACAAATTATAGAAGAAACCACAGACGGTGGGATAGAAAAGTGGTAATTGACCACCTACTGACAAATGTTGAAGTTTTGCCCAACCTTCACTTTTCAGTCCCCATTTTTTAAATCCTATCTACGAAATCCTCAAACGTCCTAAATTCCAACGAATCCATATAATCAGAGCACTAAAGAAAACTTTTTTCATTCTCTTTTCATTGGTTATGAATTTCCATTATAATTTTTAACGACTGAAAAGACGTTTCACAGCCAGTTGAAGAAGCGTTTTTTAAGATTTTTAAGCATCATCGTATTAATAAATTCCACTTACAAAATAAGAAAAATTGGTATATCAGCTATTTATAAATAATATACAAAATGACAGGAACATTCAATAATGGAATTCCCTAAAATTAAAGGATAAGAAAAAATTCTATTATAGCTCTTACCCCAAAAAATCTGGTTAAATGAATATATAACAAATTATCACAGTTAGAAAATAACAACAGAAGAAAATCACATTCTTACATAGCATACCTTTCAAAATTATATAGTATAATATGACTTTTTAAGAACAATGAGAATTTCAAAATTCAATTCCAATCCATTGAATGTGATAGAAACAAATTGTATACTCGAAGACTTACAAGTCATGAAAAATACGTATAAATAAATTCATACTGATTCTTGATAGTTCACTGGTGACATACGATTTGGTTCTCTTCCGACTTCAAACTTATTATTGATAATCAAATGATGTTATAGGATATGCTGATACAGGATAGAAAACATGTATCCTTAAAATAACCAAACACAGCATGGAAGCCTAACGTATCAACTTTAAGACTTTCAAATTGGATATCATCCAATTTTCGCTTTTAAAATTGTAAAAAATAACTTGCATTCATTTTTTTTTATGTATTTCACTTCAAAAGAATAAGTTTTTATAAAAAAAAAACATGCCTTCATTTTTTTAAGGAAAGGTGTAATAATGGAAAAAAGAATAAAAACATTCCATGGGTCTTACAGAGAAAATTACAAACAAATCAAAATGTGAAAATTATTTACATTGGAAGATCAGAATTAAAAAAAATGGCAAAATATGGCAAGCACTAAGATTAAATTCCAGATAAAATTAAGGTTTATAATGAGAAACTGCTCTTTAAAATAATGAATTTAGTGTAATGTATGGTTTCCTGTTATGTATTAGCTTTATTATCTATCGGAATTGATTTACACTTTTATATTATCATAATTAATATTAACTTGTATATTATCATTGGCCTTTGCATAAATAAGATTAAACCGTAATTCGTTAATTAAATTTGCATTTTTATTTCTAGTAATCGTGAGACGTACGTGATGAAATCTAAACACCTAATCTATCAATAACACTATAACAAACGACATTTTTTGGTAAACATGCCTCTATATTTACTTGATTTTTCTTATTAATACCATAAAACATGGACGGAAAATAGAAAGAAACATGTTTTCTAGATATTTTGATTAATAAATATATTAATATTAAAAGTCAAGAATTGAAAAAAGAAAGACAATTTCTCTAGGAGTACAATTCATTTGAATATTTTTTTTGTACGAGTACCACGACCTTCCAGTTGACATTGGACAAATTTTCTTGCAAGCGCATCCAAGAATTCCTAATACATGACTAATACAATTTGTAAAACCCACAGTTATTTCCCTTTTTAATCTCTTGCAGGAATGCTTTAAATCAGTCAAAACAAGAAAGACAAGAAAAAATATGGTCAACCACCAATTAGATAAGCAAATTAAGCAGACGATCGGAATGGAAAAAATATTATTGCAGTTAATGTGCAACGCAATTTAATACATATTTGTGTCAGTTTTGTTTCCGTACGGTTATCAATCAGCAATTTTTAACATACCAAAAATAAAAGACAATGGTGTTAGATAATTTTCCTGCTTCTAAAGCTTAATTTGAATGATAACTTATTTTTATTCAACCATTACATTACTTAAATAATTCTTCTTGATGTTGAAATTACCCTTTTACATAGTACTTAATTATACTGACCATTATTAATATTTAAGGTTAAAGGCACATAAACGGGCGCTTATGTATTTAAGAAAACTTCATTTCCTTCTAACATTGGAGACGAAACGGGCGTGTGGAGTAAAAATAAATACAAACCTTATATCTTTGATGAGTACTTTATAAACATATTCTGAAGAATAAATCAATATTGAATAGATACAATTTCAAAGGATAGCGAAAATTGAAAACAATTTTGTAAGTGTTTCTTCACGAATCAATATACTAATTTTGAAAAAAAAAAGGTTTTTCCTATCCCCTACCTTTATTTCTTTATTTTATCGGCGGATCATGTTGCTTAAACTTTTAAAGACGTCGGTAGTTGAAACATAGATTGAGCATCTGTATATGAGCATTTTCATCACAAACTATTAATATCACTGTTATGTACATTCTTACCACTTGCAAGAAAATTCATACAAAGAAAGCGGTCACGGTAAAAACGACATCTTGTCAAATTGAAATCTTGGCAAAGAGCACGTACTTTTAAAGATGGCCTCAAAAGATTTCTCACCATTCCAAGCTAAATGGTTTTATTTTCAAAACAAAGAAGAAGAAAAAAAGAACAAAAAGATTAAAAAAAAGAACGACAACAATATTCATATATATATTATATTGATTTCAGTCAAACAACAATTTCATTAGTTATGAAATGATAACAGCTAAAAAAAATTCATGACATACATTCGATGATGACTGAAACGTCAATAATCATTTAAATAACAACCAACTTTATTATAGAAATTCACAGAACTGGTTTCTATAAACGAATAAAAAAAATTTAAAAGTCACAAATCAAACTCTGCTTATTGCTTAAAGCTTTATGAAAGGAAACAAATGTTATTAAGAATATGCAGTAGCCCAGATAATGAAGATTAATTTAGGATTCCATAATATTACGGATTGCGTAGTTAAATCGCTATCACAAATATAACAAGCTTACTTCTGCATCGTTTGGTCTCTGGTATAGAGTTGTCTCATTGGCAATCATACCACATCTTCTTATTTTTATAAGAACACTATTAATATTCCGTTATCTTAATTAAAAAGGTTTTGCAGTAAATTTATAATAAAGAGGTTCTGTTCTGTCTCCGGTATATTTATCCAAAATGTCATCCTTTCCAATCAAGAAAGCGGTGAAAGTATTTATCGGCTACACGGTATATAGTATTTTGACTTATTCTATATCACCAAGAACAACTTGCAGTACCTAGCAACATGTATTTTTTGTTGTTAAAAGACATATTTTAAGTTTTAAAAACAAGACTTTGAGGGAAATGGCTCATATATATATATATATATATATTGTGACTTACTTTGGGTGTAGTAACAGAAATCAGTTCTGAGAATATTAAGATTTAACGTTATTTAGTTGCTAATAAGAGATAATATTTGAAAAAAAATATGTACATAACAATTTATAAATTGCATCCCAGTACCAGGCTAATGGAAAGACGTTCAGTGTATGAGTATAATTTATGCCAATCAATTGCTCTGACAAACATTTCACGTATTTTGGTAAATTTACTATCTAAACTGCATAAAGCACAATCACCGCATGGTGAAAAAAATTCCAGCATTCCTATTTTATTTCACGTATGAAGTGAAAGTTAACTGACTTGTAAAAAAGAAATAAAATTTCTCATCATGCAACCACGTCACTGTCAGGTCCTAATTCTACTGTTCTGTTTTCTGATGGTGATATTACTATTTCTATATCATTTTCTGCTTGTTCATCCTTTTGTTCTTCCTGAGAAACATTTTGAGTCGCCTCGTTGTAGGATGGTGGTGGAGGCGGTAAATCCCCTCGTACGTGTTGATATTTCCGCCATCTTCTTTGAATGACCCTTGCTGCATAATTCATTACTTGTCTTTTCATGGTAGAACTGACAACATTATATTCCACTTTTGCTTTATCTTGTTGTAACGGATTAACTCCCATGTCTGTATTATCTAAGTTATCCGAACCTAAGAAGTTTTTAGTCAATGCGTCTAATATATCTCTACAATACATTTTATCATCATCACAAATTGGAATATCAAGTTTAACTAACATGAAATGGTTTGGTTTAGGAAGTCGTAGAGGTTCCTCCAAATAGTCAACAAAATCCGACAATTTATCCAAATCAATAAATTGAGTTGCATTCGGATCATAATGCTCCCATTTTTCATAATACATATCAAAGTCGTCAGGAGTTAATCCGTGTTGTACGTCTTCAGTTGCCTGGCTGAAGTTTTCCAATATGACGGCAATATACATGTTAACAACCACTAAAAAGCTAATAATGAGATAAGATACTAAATAAGCAACAGCAATACCGTAAGAACCACAGTTTGGTGGATCAGCATTTGGATTACAATCATTAGTTTTATTCCCTACATTTTCATTTATTAAACCTGCTAGGGTATCGCTCCACCCTGCAGATGTACACATTTGAAAAAGCATAATGATACTACGCCCGAATGTTTCAAAGTTGAATGTATCATCTAGGCCATAAGTATGTTTTACATTCATGAAAAAGCTCATTCCAAACGTTGCATAAATAAACATCACTAAAAATAGCAATAAGCCGATATTGAAAAGTGCAGGCAAAGAAACGGCCAATGAAAACAATAATGTTCGAATACCCTTGGCAGATTTAACTAATCGTAAAACTCTACCAACACGGAAGACTCTTACTACACGAAGTAAAGTCGGCGGTACAAGTAAAGCCTCCATAGCATCCTTGATTGCAACACCTATTAAAAACAGCAAATATTAGATTTTACAAGTATATACAATATATTTACTGTAAAAGAGAAATCTATCATAAAGGTTTATTCAAATAATACTTTTATTTTCCCTGAATTAAATTCACACCAGAGATACTTTCAAACTTTATCAATATTCTCAGTATCAATGTTCCTTGTGCCTGTCGTGGAATTATAAACGCCCAAAGAAAGCTCTAAAGTGCAATTTTGATAGATTTTTTGCAAATTATGAGTATATCAGATTTTGTCTTTCAGATACAAAATCATTCATTTTGTTAAAGATGTCTTTCAATGCAAAATTTTACAAAAAATGTAAATGAATATTGTGTCAAAATTGACTACAGAAGCAATTTGTAGATTAATATAGTGTGATTTATTGCAATATGTGAATTGTTAAGAAATTTGTTTAACATATCATATATACTTTTTGATATTGTAATTTCAGTATAATTTGACATTTTCCTGATTTCAAAAAAAATGCGTGATGCAAATAAAGGGGAAATTGATCTTTCCTCTTTAAGAATTCACCTCTGCCAAATAATTGAGAAAAATGACACAAAGTAGGCAGAACTGTACCAAATGAAATCCTCTTCATTTAAGATGAAATTAGAACACTTTATAAATTTCATGCATCTAACGCTCTTTTTTGGATTGACTTTCAGCAGGAAAGCTCAAAGTCGAATATTTGAAAGCCAATTATGTAAAAGAACCGAAATATTTGAAGAGCTTATGATACAACCAAAAGGAACTACAAATAATAGCCAAATCCATCTAAGGTCAATTTTGCCTGAGGGAGTTGGAATCTTCGTTTCTTAATAATTCACAAACGGACAATTTAAGAAAGGTTTGCTATAAAACATGTCAGTACCGAAGTACTGAGTACTGAGCTGATTATACCCTCGGGGACTAATAGTCCACCAGCAGCGGTATTTATAAGGCTTACATTTGATTCATTGAGATAACTGCTTGTAAGGTTCGAAGTTGTGTACGAGAATTCTTGATATCAAATGTCAATATTGTTTTTATAAGTTATGTATACATTTGAAATCTAATTCATAACTTTATCACTCGATTTTCTATAGGGAGAGAGATTGGACCTATTATCAATTATCGATTACCTTTTTCCTAACAAATTATCACATATGGAAGTGTAACTGAATTATCATCTTAATGATGTGTTATAATGTTCTTTTTATTTGTCTCTGTATATTTTTAACCTCTACTGTTCAGTCCATTTTCGGTAATATCCTTTTGGCGTGGCTTGGTATTTATACATCCCGCCATTGTGTTATTGTGTGGTCATTTTTGTCGAGCCTGCGACTTTTGTCGCAGAAAGCTCGACATAGGGATAGTGATCCGGCGGCGGCGGCGTTAGCTAACTTCTTAAAAGCTTTATATTTTAGAAGCTAGAAGACCTGGATGCTTCATACTTTGTATATAGATGCCTTATGTTACGAAGTTTCCGTCTGTCATATGTCCATTGTCCTTGACCTCATTTTCAAGGTTCAGTGACTACTTGAAAAAAAAGTCAACATTTTTTGTATTGTTAATTTCTTTCTTATTATGAGTAATAGGATAACTATATTTAGTATGTGCGTACCTTGCAAGGTCCTCATGCCCGTCAGACAATTTTCATTTGACCCCGACCTCATTTCATGGAGGTTAAGTTTTCGTGGTCAAGTCCATATATCAGATACTATAAGCAGTAGGTATACTGTATTTGGTATATGGAATGATTGTAAGGTGTACATGTCCAACTGGTAGGTGTCATCTGACCTTGACCTCATTTTCATGGTTCAGTGGTCAAAGTTAAGTTTTTGAGTTTTGGTCTTATATGCAATAGGTCAACTATATTTGGTGTATGGAAATATTTTATGATGTACATGTCAGTCTCGCAGGTTTTATTTGACCTTGACCTCATTTTCACGGTTCATTTCTCAGTGTTAAGTTTTTGTGTTTTGGTCTGTATTTCTTCAACTATAAGCTATAGATCAACTATATTTGTTATATGGAAGGATTGTAAGGTGTATATGTCTGTCTGGCAGGTATCATTTGACCTTGACCTCATTTTCATGGTTCATTGGTCAATATTAAGTTTTCATGGTTAAGTTTGTTTTTAGATACCTTAAGCAATAGGTCAACTATATTTAATGCATAAATTGATTGTAAGGTGTACATGTCTGCCTGGCAGGTATCATCTGACCTTGATCTCATTTTCATGGTTCATTGGTCAATGTTAAGTTTTCTTGGTTAATACTGTTTCTTAGAAACTATAAGCAATAGGTCAACTATGTTTGGTTTATTGAATGATTGTAAGGTGTACATGTATTTCTCGTTTGGTTTATCTGACCTTGACCTCATTTTCTTGGATCATGTTAAGTTTATGTGTTACTTGTAGTAAAGCTTTATATTTAGGACTATCAACATAAAATCAATGGTTAGTAAAGAAGGTGAGACATTTCAGTGTATGCACTCTTGTTTATATTATTGTATTTCATTTTTGCTTCTTTGCTTTGTTTATAGATTGTCAATGTGCCACTTTGTTTTTCTTTGTTGACATAGTTGTTTGTTTTTATAGTGATTAAGATGATAACACAATGTCGACTGCTGTACCATAATTTTTGACATTTTTACCTATTATGTCTGTTTGTTTTGGTCACAAGTTGTTGTCAATATAATGGAATTCTATGAGACTGTCATACAAGTGAGAGGTTAAGCTAGCTTTATAACCAGGTTCCACATAAGGAAATGTCTGTACCACAGTTGCTTTCCATTCGTTTGATGTGTTTGAGCTTTTGGTTTTGATATTTTACAAGGGATTTTTCGTTTTGAATTTTCCTTGGGAGTTCGGTTTTGTTGTTATTTTACTTTCACAGCAATCGTTTAAACGATCGTTAAACCAGCAAACGAAAGCAACAGTACATATGATGTAAATGAAAATGTCAAAAAAATAATTTTAGAAAAGTACTCACCTAATATAGATAAAACAACTACAACAAAATCAAACACATTCCAAGGAATCTTGAAGTAAAACCAGCGAAGAGCTAAAAGTTTGAGCACACATTCTACGGTAAAAACAACGATGAATGACATATTTATATATTGTAAAACGGTTGAAAACGTTTCAGTCATGTTGTGGTGTTCTAGTGTCATTGTAAGCATGTTTAACATTATCACAATCATGATTCCAATATCAAACGCTTGATTAGTAACCAGATCATACATCTTTCCCATTGGCCAAAACTGAAAAAGTACATATAACAATGAGTGAAGAGACAGATATACACATGATAATAATAAGATTCTTATTAAAAAGGACTAGATTATTAGTATTACAGAAATAGTATGCACTTTGAATCAGAATTTAAATTGATTGAACAAATCTTTGCTTTAAAAACAACCATGAAGCATCTGCAACAGTCTGGAAAAAATAATAATTTACTGTATATTTGTTTAGATCCGGTAAGTTTTTTGAATTTTCTAGAGTTATAACTTGGATGTTGCAATAAAAGATTTGATCTTTTAATTTTTTAATCTGACTTTCTTTCAAGTTCTAAGAAAGGATCATAAGACGCCGACGTGAAATGAAATTAGATTGCTAAAAACATTATCTACCATAGTATTTTGGATTTTTTTAATCAAACTATAGACATTTATTAAATCAAATATTGAAATTTCATCACACTGAAGCTATTAACATTACACTTAACAGCTTCAAGTGACAACATTATCAATAACACTGTTCTCATAGATTGAAGCTATTACATATACATGTATTGTCTAATGCGGTGCTAGTCTCACATCCGTACTTAATTTCAACTTAATTATGAATAAATAAAATTAATTTTTAACAAACTTTTCACAAATTCTCTGTTCATAAAGTAATAAATAATGAAAACAAATAAAAGTTCTAACTCTCTCAAGCAAAGTTGACCTGAGGTGAGTACATTCCTTTTGGTCTCTTCACGTGTTTAGGTATTATATATAGGTATTATACACCCTTACTTTCAAATGTTTGGGTTTGATCATTCCTGATGCCACGAGAAAAGAGCTTCGGACGCATGGAATTAATCACGTGTTATTTTCGTCTAATACGACGAAATTTACTTAGATAAGTGAAACATCACACAATTCATTTATTGAAAACAGAAGCTTCCATGGTGTCGAAAGGTCAAATATTATTTGTTTAACTTGTTCCAGGAATGTTAAAGAAGAAAACAGTCTAAAGTAAATTTACTCAAAGAGAGTAAAATCTTAATATAGACTTTACAAAATATATTAGCTGAAAATTATTAAGAAACACACATTCTTAATACAATACCAAAACATATTTGTTCTGTAATATAATATCATTATTATAGAGTTGAGTAATTTTTATGGTGATTCTTCTTTGTCCCTTTATTTTACCACTAATGAAGATAAAAAGAGGTGAGTTGAGTATAACATGTACGTCACATCTTAATGAGTTAATCTTGTCAATGATTTTCTTTGTTTATATCTTAGTATAATTGGTTTTGGCTTTGATAGCAGATTTTTTATTGTGATTCTTATTGTGGTTCTTTTATTTGTGTTGTTGTGTTGCTCACTCATCGAGTCATCTTCTCCTCTCTCTGATATGATACAAAATATGTAGTGTTAAACTGTGCATCAGGTTTTATATTTTGACTTGATAACCTTGGATATAACAAACAGCAAATAGTAGTGATATTCTTGTTCAAAATTATCACATAAACCGGGATGATTAACTAAGGTTGACATTATGTATATATATTTTTTTCATCGTAGAGTACGTTTGACGGTTTTGGGATGTGTTCTTTAATGTGTGCTGCTGTTTCATATTGACTCCTCTCATCCTTATTTTGAATGATACAAAATATTTATTGTTAAAATGAGTGTCGGATTAAATGTTTTGTTTTGATGCTTTTCAATATAACATACAGCAAAGTGGAAGTAATATTCCAAAGTTAATAATATAAAATTCGAATAATAATATTAAATATACACAGAATCATAAGTAATATACGATACAATATTAATAAATACAAATAATGTGAGACACAATGTATAAATAGTAGGTGGAAAAGGCTATATATCATAAAGTTAAAAGTGAAATTTAAAAATAATATACAAAAACATTCATTAAATTAAAATAAATTCAAATTCGCCAAATGTTTTTGTATAAAATGTAAAAAAAGGCATTAGAGGAACTTGTAAACATGCAACATACAACACAAATACAAGTACGAATGATAAAACCCGCACTTGTGATATAATAGTTTCAAACAAACAGTAATGAAGTACATGTATCATGATCAAATGAAATACTATATTATAGATGTATGAAGGTTTTAAAGCTCATTTCACTTTAACCCGACAACATTAAGGGAAATTAAACTTTCGTATTTCATAAGTTTTGTATCCCACTTAAGAAAAAGTGACATTACAATGACTACAAAGCATGCTCCATAGAATATTTGTCGTAGATGTTCCAAGCTAAATCTGCTAAACCAAATTAACATTTTATTATTCAATAGAAAACATTTAACGCAATAGGTTTTGTAAACGAGTCAACCACCTAGCCTTCCATGTTTTGTACAAAAATGTCAATTTATTTTGTCATAAACTAAAAAAACATTTGAAGGAATGTAATGATACACAATACATCATTGTTAAGAATCCACGTAGTCAAACTGCAAAAAAAAGTAAAAGAGATCATATGGTGCTTAATCAATCTCTATACTTTCGTTTTATTGTCAAGCCTTAGAATCTTTTAGTTGTTGTTTGTTTTTATGTTAGCCTTCATATGTCGTATTTGGAATATACAAGAACTAGAATTGAAAGTATATTAGAACAAATGCTGGATAACTCCCATCGTCTATTCTTTTGTTATCAAATTCTTAAAAGATTTTTTTTTATAACCAATGATAGTAATAATTAAAGTCAATTGTTCACAAACAATTGAAAGGTCTTTCCTTTCATATTTTTTCTTAAAATATACTGTCATACACTTGTCGAACCAACATACTGGTGTTACCTCTTGATAGGAGGAATTTAGTGGTATATCTATGACTAACACTTAAATCATGTTACACTCCACTACGGTTTCTGAGTTTTAGTGGCCATCCGACATCGGTTAATTTTCAAAGGGACATAACCCTACCAATAAGTCGTTGAATCTTTTCGATCCAAATGTAATGAAGAACCAAGGGTTGGTCCTGAACAAATTACCCATTATGGTTATGGTGTTTGAATGATAACAAGGTTTTTGGTGTTAGGGGAGATAACCGCTAAAAAGGAAATGTTACAGAGTGGTGCCCTAACTACAAGATAGCTTTTGGTCAACCCATACTTAATACCTAATATCATTTCAACATGTTGCGTACTTTTTTTGAGAAATGTCGTTAAAGTTTGGCGGAAAGAATAATAAAAATAATTAAAATGTCAATTGTTCTTGAACAATTGAGAGGTCTTTCCTTTTCGAAATGTAAAATACATGTTCCAATAGGCATAGAATGCATTGAAAAGTTCTCAAACACACATAAAACTGTTAAAATATGACAAAAAACAACAAATTCGCTATTTAGGACATGACCTTGACTTTTGACCTTTGTGAAGGTCATTGGTAAATAATGTTATTAAAAAAAGACCCCATGGGTCTAGGACCTTTGGATCAAGAGTTAAAGCTAGTTTTGTCTTTTCAAAAACAGTTATCGGGGTTATGCCCCTTAAGGATAGGTCAAATCTCTTCAGTCAAAATGTAAAAAAGTTGCCCCGCAATGACCCAAACATTTTTCACTATTTACTTTTTCTGTAAGTATTATCGTTTTTGAGATATCCAATAAAAAGTTGTGGGGTCAAAGGTCAAGGTTAACCTTAAAAACCTTTAATACACACTTTAAATCCTTAAGTTAAGGTCAAAAACACATAATTCGCCTTCTGGGACATGACCTTGACCTTTGACCTTGTGACCTTTGTCAAGGTCATTAGTCCTTAATACCATTCTTGAAGACCGCATGGGTCTAGGACATTTGGTTATATAGTAAAAGCTGATTTTGTCTTTTCAAAAACCTAAAACAAGGGTTATGCCCCTTACAGAAAGGTCAAATCTCTTCGGTCAAAATGTAACAAAGTTGCGCATTAATGACCTAAACATTTTCCACTATTCAACACTTCTGTAAGTATTAAGGTTGTTGAGAATATCCCATAACAAGGTGTTAGGTCAAAGGTCAAGGTCAACATACACATTTGACCTTAAGGAATTTTTCAAAGTCACATGAATTGATGATGATTGGTGAAGATCCTAGGTGTCTACAACTTACGGTTTCTGAGTTTTGGTGGCAAACAGACTGTGGTTTATTTTCAAAGGGGCATAACCCTACCAATGAGTCGTTAAATCTTTTCGATCCAAATGTAACGAAGAACCAGTGTCTGGTCCTAAACAAATTTCACCCTTCGCCTTTTTTCTACCTATAACAGTTACGGTATTTGAATGATAACAAGGTTTTTAGGTTTCAGAGGGATTACTCTGAACCGACATAATTTTTCGACTCACAGGGTGAGTTTCAGATAGGTATTTATGACACCTATACAAAGTGTGAACATGAAAGCGACACGTCTTACGATTAAGGCTGCTAACTTCGTCAAAGTTTGGCGGAAAAAAATTAATAATCAGAAGTCTTTCCCTTTTGGAAAAGGAAAGACCTTAATTAAAAACCAATTGTTCAGAGAACAATTGAAGGTCTTTCCACCTCAACTTCTATAATAAGGAATGAAATTTAAAGAATGGTGTAAGAAGATGTCATTTCTGGTTCATATAATTCGTTACTTTAAACTGATTATACAAATATAGATTTCTAGGTACTTTTTCATTGAATAAGTAAGAAAAAGGCTACTTCAGTTAAAACAATGTCACTTCTGGTTGACCTTTTAAAGAGGTAATATGTTTACCAACCGAATGCTTAAAAGACTAATGGTTTTATAATGAACCAGTATGATTTTTTAGCAAAGGTCAAAATCTAGAACATCAGATTGACCTATGACCTTGACCTCAATTTCAAAGTCATAGTTCAGTAACCCCAAATCGAAAGATCCCAGGTCATTCACTTGTATGCTTGAGCAGTAATACTTATTTCAAATACATAAGAGGAGAAAACTCCTATAAAGGGTGACCGAAACACTTTGACCTAACAGATTGAAGTTGCGCCATGTTGTGAACAATTATTTGGCAAACACATTTTATCATTAACTGTGAAGGTTTCTTTTTAATAAAGATAACAAGCAAAATTCAAAATTAATAACATGACCTTGACCTTTGACCTTGACCTCAATTTCCTCCAAATGGACTAAGGACTTTATATCAAAAGACTTTAGGCCTCTATGACTTATGATGTATGAATTTATTCAACATATCACTTATGTTAAATTTTCAAAGGGAAATAACTCCTATAAGATGTGATCGGATCACTTCGGTTAAACTTAACCAAAACATTCTTAAGTGTAGACGAACAATTAGGTGAAAAAAGTTTGTTGATATCTTTTATGGTTTTAGAGAAATAAAGATAACAAGAAAAAGGGGACTCTGGGAGATAACTCCTATAAGAATAACTGTTCGGTTACAATGGGTGAATGGGGAAATCCACATCACTGTACAACATCATTGGCTAAATATCCTTTCAATATGTCTTAAAACAAAAAAGCATCTCAGACGGCAGAAGAAAAAAAAAAAAAAAACATAATCAGAACAAAAGCAAAAGGTCTTTCCACGAAAGTGGAAAGACCTAATAATAATAATCAGAAATACATATAGTGAAAGGAAAGACATTAAATATTCTATAACTTAGCCGAGGATCCCCCTTTGTGTCCGTGTATTGATTAATGTAACAGAGGCCATATTTTATAATATGGTCAATAATTATTCATATCAACATATACCATATGAGGTGTAGGCTGCATTGATATTTGCCAGATTCAACGAATGTGTCATTAAAAACCAACCAGTTTTTAAGCTTGGATTTCAAATGCAAGGTGCGTATTCCTTTTCGAAGATTTGATAATGTTCTTGTTTGGAATGGAAATCGCTAAAGTTTTCGAATGAAAAAGCAAATATGAGGTTAAATTCACAAAATATCAAAGGTCATAAAAATATTATTAAAACCCATTCAATTGTTTAGAAGGAGGTATGGCTTCTGTTTGTACAATCTAATATCAATTATACATGTTTACCACTTGAAGCAAAGATAAACAAGAATGTGTCCATAGTACACGGATGCCCCACTTGCAGTATCAATTTTTCTATGTTCAGTGGACCGTGATATTGGGGTCAAAACTCTAATTTGGCATTAAAATTAGAAAGATCATATCATAGGGAACATGTGTACTAAGCTTCAAGTTGATTGGACTTCAACTTCATCAAAAACTACAAAACTTTCAACTGAAGCGGGACAGAAGAACGAACGGACACACAGCACGGAAAACTTAATGCCCCTAGGTGGGGCATAAAATATTTAAAAAGCTTGGAACCTGTACGACAAAAATTCTATTGAGAGTGAAGAATATCAAATGTATTTGGATGGATAGCAGGCAACGTCCAGATACTAAACTATCGGAGATCTGCGCCATCTGGAAACTAAGCTAAAGTGTTAATAAGGTGGTCATAACCATATAAAAGTGCTTGGTGCTAATAATAAGGAAAAATCTATTGAAAACAACCAGACTTGGTTATCAAACAGGATGGATTATAGATTAATTCAATTATAAAGGAAAAGCTCTAACATTTGTAGAAAGATGAGAACAGATGATTTTCGATTTTCATTTAAACTTTAACAATTATTAAAAGTAACTTAACTTTGATATTTATTAAACAATTTCTAGCTTTTAGACATAAATATGTAATCAATTCAATACTTTGGGCAAAAATGAATTTGAACTTATTTCTTTAATTAATCTATTATACTAATTTAAATGTGAAATTGGATGCATTCTTTGAAGAGATAAAAAAAAAATATCAATTAGTTTATTAATATAAATTCCAATTCCCGTTAAAGAATGGTTTGCATGCCGGTTTCATTCATTCTGGTTATTATTTTTATATTATCATTCAGCTGTTAGTGCGGGTTGAAAATGGGAGATACAAATTTTTTCTCTAAAAAATCATTCCAAGTTCTGGTGATTCAACAGTGAGAAAACTAACGGTTGGTCGAGGAATTGATTTCTGGGGTGCCTTTGATGACATTCTCTTCATTGCCATGTAATACTTTTTCTGGTCATCAGTCATAAACATCTCTAGAGAACCTCCAGCCTGAAGTAAAGAAGTTAACATTGGATAATATGTGATGATTATAGTACCAAACCACAAACCAGCTTACTAATTATTGGACCATTCACTGATTTAAGTATAGATCTAGGCAGTTTAAACTCATCTTGGTCTATGAAAAAAATCATATTCATTTATCAAATATGAAATTGCAATAGTCTTTCCCTAAGATATTTTTTATTAAAAAAACAATTTCATCTGATGCTGTACTTTCTTTAATCAGTAAATGGTCCAGCACACAAAGAATGACCCCAATGAGCTTTACAAAGACTGAAGCCACAGGGTTAGAAGCAATTATCTACTCAGTTATTCCGCTTTCAACTTTAAGCCTTAAACAATCAATGAATCTATGAATTTCCATATAAAAATCAAAACGATATTTGAAAGAAATTTTGCAATGTGCATTCTAAGCAATCAACTGATGAAAGACGAAAAACTAAGTAGATAAGCCGAGAAAGCACTAATAGAGGGCGACACTATTTTTACACTGACATCAGGTCTAGGAATAGATTTCTGTGGTGACTTGCTGGCCATTCTCTTCATTGCTTTGTAATACTTCTTCTGGTCTTCTGTCATAAACATTTCTAACGAGCCTCCAGCCTATTAACAACATGCAATATACATACAATTGAAAATGAACAAAAAATGAAATACGACTGAATGTAAAAATAACATATTTCATAACGTAACTTAATTTTAAAGTAAATGATATAATGATTTTTGTAATAAACTTTTGATGAAATGAAAGAAAGTAAAATATTCAGATGGAATAAAATAAATAGAAAATTGATCATTTAAAATGATATTAATTCAACTTTATCTTTGGTATGCTTATTTTGATTTGACTTATGACAAGGAGTTATCAAACACCAATCAATACAATTTAAAATTGTTAACCAAAATGTACAACACACAGAAGTTTTTTGCTTTGTTTATTAATAACGACTATGTAAGGTGACAACTATAACCTGAAGACCTTTGTAGTGAATGACAACAGTATGAAAATAGTGTTTTTTATTCCCTGATGCCTGATTGGGATACAATCAGTAAATGTCAAAATAGTTCATGCATTGAGCAAATATTTGTGATATTACTTTTCTTTTACCGTCCATCAAAGCTTTACTCTAAGCACCAATATTTATAAAAACAAATCATTTAAACAGACTGCATTGCATCTTCTAAATATGTGTACATTTGTGTGCACCAACTACACTTTTACTTCAATGGAGGGTTATTTCTAAAACTGCAATCCCATACCATGGTTCAATAAAGTGAATATCTATTGGATTTTTTTTTAAATATATGTTAATATGTGACGTCAATTATATTAACTTCAGGTATAAATTCCTTTCCAATAAAGGTTGCGTTAACTCTATGTGAGATTATCCTGAGAGAAGCACTTAATTTAATCAAAATGAATTGGATTAATTGCCCTTTGGTTAATTTACACTTTAAATCATCTATATCTGTACTGTTTCTGCACAGTCCATCACTAATCTCATCTCATCTGAAACGCTGTCAAATTTCATACAAATCTTATGATGCATTGTATACGGACCAAGCCATTTAGAACAAAGTTTTTATATTTTGAAACTGATCACTAATGCTATATGAAAGGAGACCTTGTATAATGTCTTATTTTGGCCCTTATTTATGTTTTGGTGAAACTTGAAATTATATCATTGTCTGGAATAATTTAGTTACAAAAATTACATTTTTTTTTAAAGCTGGTACAAAAACAGATCAAATACTAAAAAATATAGTTATGATCTAGATCTGACATCCAAAGAATACATTTTTACATTAATTATTTTTCCCTTTCGTGCAGGTAAAAATAAACTGTCACAGCAAGATATACTATGCATTTTACAGCACTATAACTTGCATACGTTGTCTCAAACTTTAATTGTAAGAAGAACCAGGACCATGTTGCAACATAGATGTGTGTATGACTGTTCGCTATGTTATTTTTGTGATTATTTAACTGTCAGTGTTAAATGGTCTCTTGCATGGCACTTCTTAATCTTCATATAACTACCTATAACTATATTGGCATATCACAGTGAATTAAAGATGTCACATAGATTATTATAGTTGGTTGAGGTTAATTGTAAATTTTTATTTTAACAGATCAGAATTCACTTTATTATATAGATATGAACATGCTTCCACAACCAATTTACGTACCTGTAACTAAATAAAACAGGAAATTAAAACTGGTCATAAAGTATTCAAATTAAATATATAAGCTAAAATTGCCTTCCCCAGGTTATATGTTAATGTTTTAGGGACAATAACACTTCTTTTTCTGTCCGTTTATTGTTTTTTGCTTGAAACTCATATTTATCTACTTTTATTTCTTCTAAAGATGGAATAATATCAATCTAGTAGTTTTAACAGCTTTTGCCACTTATAATTTATAACAGTTTTATTTGTTTAGTTCCTACAAAAATAAAATCAAATTTGCAATGAGTAACTCATACAGTTGAGGTTCTGCTTATATTAAGATAAAAACAATATTTTTTTACCGATGTTTTTTTTTTTTTTTCATATATATAGAAAAGTTACAAAAGGACACAAAAATATTCTTTTTTCAAAGAAGTATTTCAAAATCAACGATTTGTACAGTGATGTTAAGACCAGTTGACATTTTTAGAACAATCGACTGTTTTGAATAATTCATTTTAGAAATATTTCTATTGTATCTGAACCACTGATCTTTCCCTTATTTTAATTTTTTTACAGAATATTTCATTGTTTAATTATATTTGTGTAACAACTATCTTCAAATTTTAAAATACATTTTTTTTCATATTAACCCATAATTTCGTTGTATTTCGAACAACCGATTTGGGGATATAAACATTTTCAAATATGGTGCAAATGTAAAAGAAAATATGATAAAACAATACTGGTACCTTCTCCTATAAGACAATGATTTTTAAAACAAAAATATTGAAAGTTAAATATGAAAATCTCATGAAAAATTATTACAACAATTAAAAAATAATTGTGATGAGAGTTCAACCTTTCTATTTCATATCAACAGGCATGAAGATATTTTAATCATTTCATTTTGCATATAGGCCATGCTTAGCCCAGATTAGTAGCCCTTTGTTTCATTGGTTATTTTATGCAATTTTACGATATTGTTGTTTCGTGTGCATCCATTCTTGTTCCTACAAATAGCTAGCCGTACAATTCAACAACAAATCATCACTTTAAAAAAAAATGTTTTAAATCTTTAAATGTATAATTCCAGTTAGCATATAGTTAATTTAAATAAAAGGTTATTATTGTGATCGCAAAATACAAAAAAAGAGACAAATAAAAACATCAGAAAAAATTCCTGGCTTCCTCAAAATTTGTGAAAGGATATATCGTCATAGGACTATTCAGAATTGACAATCATAAATGTCGATTGCCGAAAAGAACATTATGAATAAGTATAAAACCATTGCAAATAAATGTAACTGAGACTGTTTAGTGAAACACATTTTGAAAACTTTTCAATTAATTTTATGTCATAGTTTGGTTTCATTTTACTCAAATTATTTTGGAAATATATTGAATGTTAATGAAATACATTTTGTCATCTAGAAAAAAAATTAGAACCAATTGTTTTACTTGTTTTTTAGACAATGAAATATTTCGGCAATGGTTATATATTTACAAATATTTGTTAACAATTGACAATATTTTTATTCCATACCTTTTTCTTTTGCTGATTGAAATTCTCAATGATGACACCAATAAAGAGATTCAATGTGAAGAATGACCCAAAAATTATAAACAGGACAAAATAAAGGTACATATAGACATTGATCTCATCACCAGGTTGAAAACCAATTTCCTGAAAAATAAACATGTTTCATCTATTATAAAAAAATGTTTATTTCAAGGAGGCTGCAAACCCCCCCCAAAAATGCAATACAAAAAATACCAATGCAAATCTGACAAAAACAAACGCTCGACAAATTATTATCCTTTTTATTATATCTTTCTCCTGCTTTTGTTAGATGTACTTTCTCCTAGTCCTGTTCAATAAAATATCGTATGGACACAAAGAGCCTGCTTTGAACACCTGCATCTATGTGTTATACTTTCGAAAACCAGTAATATAAAGTTCTACTATTTTCACTGACAGGTGGTTGTATTGTAACAGGTCTTGTTTAAACTGTTGCCCGGGTCCTCCAGTAGATTTAACAGGTCTTGTTCAAACTATTTATTTTTCGTGTCTGAACTATTCGTCCGGAATTGTGTTATCCATAATCCAGTCTGTCTCATGAGACATTAACCCATCAACATAGGGAACCAGCTATAATATTTATCCATCGTATTCCACTAGTTATTAAATGTAAAGTCTGTTTAATGTTCACATATTTAATATCCATAAACTGCTTATAATATACAATGAGGGATCACAAAATTAATACAGTGCGTGTTTCACAAGTTAATATCTTAGTTAAAACTTATATGTGTGCATAGCTCTACCTCCATATTGAAACTGACTAGTCTCAACTTTCCCATGAAAACCTTCTATATGTATTAACATCTGTTTATAATTATTTTATATCAAACCTTGCTTTATGTTTACTTTATATTTTCACAAACTTTTCTATGCTGTTGCAATTCTACAGTGCATCCCATAAAATGTCAAGATTAATCAAAATGGAAGATTAGTAAACTGATTTAACTATTTACAAATAAATCTTTGAGTACTTGACCAAGCTCCATCATCAACTTATGTAATATAATTAATTTTGATATTTAATATCATTTGTCAATTAAAAGTGATTTTGGTGAAAGTTTTTGAGACATAGTTCCAAATACACCCAAAACTCCGGTATGATATCTTCTGGTCATCTTTCATGCAATTGTAGTTTCAGAGATGATCATTCAAAGTGTATTTTTCGGTTAAATTTTGAATTCCTGCTGGCTTTTACCATGAGATATAAGAATGAATCGACCATCTTATTCCGTATTCCTAACAAATATTAATGTACCGTTTGCTGGTTATTTAAAAAAAAAAACAAAGACACAAAAAGACATCGGAAGCGGAAACATGGCATAACTCAAATTAAAGTTAAGATGGATGACAGAGTGAATCGTCAATCACCCTTTAAAGCAGGTAAAACAAAAGTTGACTAAGAAGGTCATCTTACGATAATTTTGAAACACATACTGATTGCAGTCGGTAACATCCTTGTATACAGGTTCGTTTTAAAACTCAATAACCTTGGAATAACCTTGAAATGATATTTTTTAGATTTTGAATTGGGCAAGTGATTTCGGAGAATGTAAGATATTCAAAAAATATTGTATATTGTTAAAAAATATCAACTTACTGTTGGAGTATCTATGGCATCATCCATAATAAGGGTCCATCCTTTATATGTTGCCTGTCAAAAATGAAAGAATCATACAGAGTAGTTTACAATACCACATGCTAAACATTAATAAAAAGATAGAAAGTCCTCCATCACATTTGAATAATTGAACTCATCAAAGTTCATTTACATAGCCTTCACTCAAATTTCAATCGTAAGAATTAAAGTTGCTTAAACGAGGGGGAATGGAAAATAATATTACATTAGAAAAATCTGTCTACAATTTTGATCAATACTGATTCCTGCCCTTAATCCCCCCTCCCCCCCTGATAATCTGACTCGTTCTTTATCTGATGATTTGTCGTAGTCACATTTCATTACTTTATCATCCTTCAAACTATCATTAAATACGACTCATTACATAATTCATATGAGCATCCTGATCGATGCCTTTAGTGGAGAATGATCTTCATATTCTTTGGAAGCACTTGAGTTCACCATGTTTTATGCTAAGATGCTAGTTACACCCCACCAAATTTATATGTGCATAATACATAGAAAAAATCTTTTTCATTGGATATTTTTTTAAGGAGAGTGTTTTTAAAACTAAATGTATACTTAACTTGACATGAGAGAGACAAATGTTCAAATAGTCTGGTAACACAAGTTTTCAAAACACTTTGTGACATGACAGACTTTCCTCTCCTAGGTTTCCTTTGAATATATATCATTGTTTTTAATTTTTGTAATGAAAACTCCAATAGAAGAAGAAGAAGAAGAAGAAGAAAAATGAGAAGAAAAAAAGATTAAAAAAAAAGAAGAAAACTTACCACTTGAAACAAGGCCAGATATGCATTAAAGACAGTATCAAAATTGACATCTGGATTGACCCACTTATAGCCGGTTTCATTTTGATTTAGGATACAATCATTATAATGAGCTACTATGTTCCGTGGTAGTCTGATATTGTCTGAATCAACACATCTGTGAAATTTTCCGTTAAAGAATTGGACTCCAACAATTCCAAAGATCAGCCAGAAGACAAGACACACCAACAACACATTTGCAATAGATGGAATAGCTTTTATCAATGCATTCACAACCACCTGAAACAAAACAAAATAATACAAGATGGTTTTAGAGATACAAAAAAGATATGCATACGATAAAAATAGGTAATTTGTAACCAATCATGTTCCCACTAGAGTAAAAAAATACTCAGATACATGCGTACCTTTTTTTATGTGTATTGGTGTGTGTTTGGTCTTCTAATAATATGTATATTGATTCGTTTATTTCGATTTCAGAAGACGACCATATTAATACAAAAAACAACAATAAGCGTATATTAAGAACTCTAGGTCTGGAAATTGTTTCCGCGATAGGTATGATTAGTTCCATTATGTGGGACAATTTATGGTTGATTTTTCATACTTCATACTTTAAAGGAACATTAGCTGTCAAATTTATGATCACCGATTTGACTTAAATTCTCATATTTGATTAATAACATACTAAAACGTAAATCCAAATTACAACAGGTCCAAAAGAAACAAATAGCAATGCATGGACTCGTTATAATGTATCAGCATTTCCTGCGTATTTTAGACTAGACACAATCTAATTACTGTAAATTCAGAAATTATTGCGTGCATTTATTATTGCGATTTTGTCATTTTAGACTAAAATGCGATTTTAATTTTTGCGATATTGAGAAAAATCTTGTTTAATTCATATAAAAAATTTCAAAATGCGAGTTTAAATTATTGCGATTATAACCCTGTCGCATTTTTCGCAATAATAAAAACATCGCAATAATTTCTGAATTTACAGTAACCATCGAGATTACCTCGGAAGACTGTCGATAGTCATTCAACCCGATATAATCATAACTAGAAATAAAAATAGACTTAGAAGCATGTGTAGTTGTGTAATTAAGATTTATCCAGATCTGTTTGATTTCATGTCATAAATTTTAAAAATATACATGGTATATATCTCCCAATTGATACGATATTCCCGGGCTTTTATTTCCTATCATGATTTCCTTGATAGAGGATTGCTGCTCACAAGGAAGCTATTAAACCAAGAGTTCCAAATGGTGAAGTTGAAATCATCCCTTCATAAATTTTACGGATGCCATCACGAGTTGGTTGACTGTTATGGAATAACCGTTTCACAGATGATATCGGATATGTTCCTTATGTCGTAACTACAATACCCTTCCCTTTTCACGAATGTGACCTACCGAATTAGACTATTTACCGGATTTGTAATAACATAAGCAACACAACGGGTACCACATGTGGAGCAGGATCTGCTTACCCTTCAGGAGCACCTGAGATCACCCCCAGTTTTTGGTGGGGTTCGTGTTGCTTAGTCTTTAGTTTTCTATGTTGTGTCATCTGTACTATTATTTGTCTGTTTGTCTTTTTATTTTTGGCCATGGCGTTATCAGTTTGTTTTTGATCTATGAGTTTGACTGTCCCTCTGGTATCTTTCGTCCCTCTTTTGTAGGCCGAATCGTTGAAAGAAATGTTTTTTTTATTGTGTCTATCTTGTTTCGCTTTTCAATGTTGACATTCTTTTCTTTTTAATAAACTGAACACGTTTAGGGCAAGTGTAACCAATTTTCAGCCAAAGGTCAAGTTATAACTGTTTGAAAGAAAAGAAAACTCGTATTTTATTTTTTTGTCTAAATGGCAGCTAATTTCCCTTTAAGTTTTACAGATGGAAAAAAAATGTTAACGTGCATATGGTAAATATCATATCAACTAACATACTGTTATTAGTGAATGTAGGACAGATACATTTATATCTGAAATTCTCTTTATCATATCAAAATAGATCAGAAATATTTACATTTATTTCAATGTGTAATGGCTAAGGTAAATCACTTGATTTTTCATCACAGAGGGAAACATGCCGAAGTTCAACTCTTGGTCATATGTTTAGAAAATTAAAAAAAACATTGATGTAATGATAATATGCAAACCTTTAATTTATGTACAAATAGTCTATATTATATAAAAGTTAAGCTTTAACAGTATATGAGGTAACCGGAAAAAACAAGGTACCAACCCTTGATTATTTCACAAGTAACATTAAAAGTTCAACATCCTGTCATTTATGAAAAATTTACAGAAATCTAGAATCATCATGATATGCTAACCCTAACCATATTTACATACACAAACTGTATAATATTAAATTCATATGGAAAAATGGGGGGGGGGGGGTGAGGTCCTCAAACCAGGTACCTTGAATTTTTTTTTCAAATGAGGTTTAATATTATAGCTTTGTAGAAAATAAGACAAAAATCAGAAACATGATAATATTCAAAACTTTTTTATTTCAACTAACGCTCTGTGTAAAATAAGAATGTCTGGCTTGAAAACAGTCACAGGATGTAGACGGACAAACAATGTTTCGTATGTTGGACGTAGTGAAGGAAGGATGAATAGGGTTTAATTAATTTGTCTCAACGCTTTGTAACGGGATACTTTTTTTTAAACTGTGGACATAATACTATCAGACCCTTAACCAAACATTAGTTCCATATCTACAAGCTTACCAAAACAAAGTCGCACAACTGTTAAAGTATGGAATGAAAACCTGCGTTACATCATATATATTAATGTGAAAGTAGAGCCATATGGAAAAAGTTCAAATTTATAAACAAATAAGCTCTTGAATTGTATTTATGTGTTACATATTTTAACTTACATTTATTATAAGCACCAAGATCTTACATAAACATATAGTTTTCTGTATATACCAATGAAAATATGATAAAACATGTAAATACTTTGCATAGAATTCATAATAATACCATATCAAATTCAAAAGAAAGCTTTAAACATACCCGCATTCCTTCCCATCTGGACACAGCACGCAGTGGTCGCAACGCTCGTAATGTTCTCAGTGCCTTTAAAGAACCTACACCGTCACCTTTTTGTCCCTCCTCTTGTGGCAAGTTTTCAATAACTAACATTATGATAGATATCTATAAAGAAGTATAAGTTGTAAGTTAATCATATAAGTAACAAACTACACAAAACATCGAGATAATAGGGGCCTTTTAAGATTTTCAAATATGTTGGCCTCGAGCATCACTAAAGAGACATTTATTGTCGAAATGCGCATCTGGTGCAGTAAAATTGGTACCGTCAATGTTGTTTCAATATTTCCTAAATTGACTACTACGTTCTCCGTAAAAACAGAGAGAATATAACAAGGGGTTAATCTAAAACCAAAAATTAAAAATTAAAAGACAACACCATGTCCACAAAAACAATCGACGAGAGGAAAAAACACAAGATAAGAATCCATGTTTTATTTCCACTTTATACTATCAAACTAAAAAAATCTAATCAATATCTTCAAGAAAATTGCAAAACAAATTCAAAATTGATCTGTTACTTTTTTAAATATGAATATATGCCCCCACTTGCGTCAGTATGAACCTAATTTCAACAGTTAAATGGATGGACCAATACGAATAAGTGTGATTAAAGCATGCGATGTATTGCTTCTTTTTACAAGAAGTAGAACATATTTGTATAAAAAGTGAATACAATTTTGTAAAAAAAATAGTGCATACTTACAGAAACAATTACAAAATCCAGCCAACACCAAGCATCTGTAAAGTATTTTTTATACCCAAATGCAACCCATTTTAGCAACATCTCTAATATAAAGATGACTGTGAAAAATTTGTCAAAGTAATTCAAAACTTCCCTCAGCACCGGACGTTCACGCAGATACACATCTTCAAGTGCCTAAAATAATGTATTAATAAATTATTTTTCTTATAAAGTACGTGTATCTAGAACATGAGGTTACCTTAATGAATGCATACTTTATAAACTTTCAAAACCGGAAAAGTATACGTGTAAAAACTGAATGCCAGTCTACCATTCCAAGTTGTTATCGTCAAGTGAGCTAAAATTGTTCACTTTGATTGCAAAGCACTTCATACCATATTGACATGTACTGCAATGACAGTGATTGTAATATTGTAGAATTGTCTTCATTGGTGTACATTTTTATAAAATGATACACCAGAAAAATAACAAGCTTTAACATAATATTCTATTTTACATAGTTTAAAGTTTAACAAGGAAATTATCTAATGTTACATGAATTAATTAAGTCCTGTGAATTAATTAAAATTTATATCCTCATTCTTTTTTACAATTGCTCAGAACATGTAGAGCGTGGTAAAATAAATATGAAATTTCATTCGTCTTTTACTCATAAAGAGTTTTATCTGTCTTTTACTCATAAAAATTTAAATTTCTTGACATTTATTTCATTATTTTTTTAAAAATCAAGCATATGGAATAAAAATGAATAAATTAAAAGAATCAAATTTTTACTTACCAAGGCTAAACTACTTGCAAGGATCATTGTTATAATGAATGTTTCAAAATACTTATGTTCCACCATAGCGTAAGCTTTACATCTAAGGGACCACCATTTTTTCCCAATTGCTGTGTGTTCTACGCGAATACAACACGGACAGTTCTTTCTAAAGATACTACAGAAACATTCATCTGGCTGGTTAGCAAAAACAGCCTCAACATCGTTAATCTCTGGTTCACCTGTTGCATCTACTTTCTTTAAGCTTATTTTAGAGTCTTCATCATCTGATGTTGAGCTACTACTAATACTTTTAGAATCATCTGAATGTTTACTTTTGATGGAAGAGGCTCGACTGGCAGATTTTGTTGAAGCCTATGGTATGCAAAATACAAAGGAGAGCAATTGCATTTTCTTGTGCAAATTAAATTTCGCATGTGAAAGCCGAAATACTATTAATGAAAAAGTATGTCTATCATGGTATAAAATTGTAAACCTTCATACAATTTGCCTCTTGGTCAACAATTTAAAGACGTACTTTTAGGTTTCTTATTCATTTTTGAAATTACAAACGATGAAAATAAGAGAAAAAAAAATATTCTATTAATTGCATTAAATGCAATTGATCTTTTTAACATGACATATTCCTATTTTATTTTAATTGATTTGTATTAACATCATCATTTTGGATAATGTATACTTACATTATCACCTTCAATGGTATCAGGCATTCCATCAGGAATTATTTCAACTAAAAAATTAAAAAAGAAATGGCTATATTACTCGTGAAATAGTCAATTATATAAGAAACAAACATCAAAGAACAGGCATATCATATTCGTATAAGGAATCAAAACAGTTATCCAATGCCAAAAACTGATAAATACATTTTGAATTGACAAACAAAGAAAATAAAACCATCGCATCAAATCGGACCAGAGTGAAGCCTAATGTAAGGACATAGTAAAAGTCTCCTATCATGGAAATTGAGACTCTGTAAAAAACAAATGTTATGATTGAGAAGATCAGACAACTTTTTTTAGTTAAATTTAGTCTCTTAACACTTATATCTCAAATAGTTAAACACTGTTTTAACAGTTAATATTACCAAATATGTAGTTGCAATCCTGTCTGATGTTTGTAAGTGCACTAGTATGTGTTAGCATTTGTACTTATATTTATTATCTCAGACACCAATGTCACAAAGACACTATGGTACCCTTATTATCTTTTCATATAGTCAATGTTGTTTATGATAAAACTGAAATCTACTTTTGTCCAATCCTGGCATACATGCCTTTTTATGGTGTACGTAAAGGCAACGATATTTAACCGATGTTCAATTGAAATATAGATATCAAATCTTAATAAAAACACATGTATTAAAAGAACAAGCGTAAAGAGATGTATGCTATTAAATAAGGAGTTATGTAGTAAATAAGAATAATAAATGTAGGGATAAGATCAAAAGCTGACCTAAAGACATCATGTTAAATGTTTTGAATTTTCTTTCTCAAATCACAAAAAAAAAAATGAAAGTTTCAGACAAATGATGTTTATGTACGAATGGTAGTCACTGTATTTGTCACATTAACTGTATCAGTGAGTATTACTTTACTTATCAGAAGTAATACATAATGATACCCAACACAACATTTAAGAATGTCTCAGGTATAATTTCTCAGAGAAACACAACCGGTAATTCAAAACATTATAGGAGGAATAAGGGCTATTTATGGTTAAGATGCTGACATATTTTCAATAATTTTTAATTATGCATTTAAATGGAGTTTCTTACAAAAATGGGTAACTCCATATAAAGCGATGGCAAAATCCATGATATGCTAGGGGAAACCCTGAAACTAATTTGGATAAAAGACAAAACAGGGGTTCACAATGACATAAAATTGATGGTGAAGGTACTGAGAAAGTTTCATTAAATTTGGAATTAAGATTATAATGGTAATGGATTGCTGTCAAATATTATGGTTAAAGGAAGAGAAGTGGGTACAAATGGATATGAAAAAGTCTTCTCCAATTTTTTTTTCTCAAGATCTTATTGAAATATATCTTTGTTAGTGTCAACAGATTTAAAATTTTAGGAAGAAAAAATCTTTATACGCTTATACAAATATTAAAACTGATTAGTCCAACCACATAGGTCAATTCGAAGATGCAATTATATATTAAGAGAGAAAGCTTGCAAAAAGAAAGCTACAAAGGATAGATACAACGGAAGTGACTTAAGGAAGTGTGTTAGAGAATGACCTGTCGCTGTGTCTGTTTTTGTTAGTTTGGGATGGTCATCAAAGTTCTGGGGATCTATGGAACCATTAATACCAATGACTTGATGACCATCAACCATGCTGTCTTTTCCGTTCATATCAAAACGGGATACTTCCGGTGATGATGGTGGTAAGGCTGGAGGTTTTGGTTTTGTCACTAACCGACCTTTGATACTTTTTGCAATCACTATAGTTTTCACTTTAATCCATCTAAAAAACCTGAAGCAAAAAGAAACAACTTTAAGTCTAAAAAATGTAAGCTACTACTGATCAAATATTCAACACAGCTCTTTTACGTGTAACTAGAGGCCTGTGTCGCTCACCTTGGTCTATGTGCATATTCAACAAATGACACTCTTCAACATTAAAGACGAGTATAGAATTCATGACAAAAATCTCTGTTTTGTTGATCTTGTATTGCTGATCATTAAGTCTGTTTAGTGTCTCTCTATCCTATTTAGTTTAATCTCAAAATACAAAAGAGGGTAAAAAAAATCCTCATTTAAGGGCAATCACTCCTATAAAGATTGACAGTCTACTATCTATATCAGCAAAATTTGACTTGTTAGTAGAGCTTGACTTGCTGATCATTTTTGTGATTTACATTTTTAGATTATTTATCTATTATAATTTTTATCCTATATGACAAAACGCAAAAAATAGTGAAAATCGTCAATAAAGGGCAATAACTCTAACAAGGAGTTGTCACACGACTTCCTCCATATTGTCTTTATTGTAGATCTTGTCTTGCTAATAATTTTTGCTTATTTAAGTTTCAATCTATCTATATAATTTTTAAGAAATTAGGCAAAAACACAAAAAATTAGTAAAAATCGTCATCAAAGGGCAATAACTCTAATAAGGAGTCGACTGACGATTTCGACCATGCAGACTTATTTGTAGAACTTGTCTTCTGATCATGTTTTCAATTTAAAATTTCTCTTTATCTATTATAGTTTTCAAGATAGTATGCAAAATGAAAAAAATGGTAAAATTTGTCATTTAGGGGCAATTACTCCTACTAGAAGTCGTCAGACAGTTTTGACGTACATGAACAATTGGTAGAATTCAACATTCTCTAACATTTTTGCTACTGTCAGATTTTCTCTATTTATAATGGGTTTCAAAATAATAGACAAAACTTGCATTTTACCCCTTTGTTCTATTTTTAGCCATGTCGGCCATCTTGGTTGGCAGGCGGGATCATTGGACACATTTTTTAAACTAGATATCCCAATGATGATTGTGGCCAAGTTTGGTTAAATTTGTAGTAGTTTCAGAGGAGAAGATTATTGTAACAGTTAACAGACGACGACGGACGACGGACACCAAGTGATGAGAAAAGCTCACTTGATCCTTTGGGCCAGGTGAGCTAAAAAAATGCGGATAATGCGCAGGATGAATATATATTCACAATGAATCTGGTTACGAATCATAAAAGTGGTAACTTCTCAGCATTAAAACCTGTTATTTAGTGGTTGTCATTGGCTGCTGTCTGTCATACTTTTTTCACCATTGTTGAAGTATAAATGAAGCCGTTGTTGTCTTTACAAGGAGACCAGTAATTATTCAAATATTTGTCATTTGGTCCCATTGGTTATATTCTTCTTCTTATCTCTATATTTGTTACTTTAAACTTTGAATTTATAATCAAAATTTCAAATTATCTAACACAATTGCCCCTTTCTATAATAAGTTCAGAAAAAATCTGAGATAATTGCATTTTTTATAAATATCTTCAATGTGAAATCAATCATATTTGTTGTTATTTCATAAGTGAGGCAAGCACTGCTTACCCTTCTGAAGCACATGAGTTCACCCTCGTTTCTATGTTCGTGTATCGTACAAATTTTATCGTCTAAGTATGATGTTGTGACTAGTGTTTTCTGAACCCATTGTTACTTTGGTATGATGTTGACTCTTAGTAATTTTTTTTTACAGAGTTAGCTAAATCAAGTTTTTTACATATGTAAATAATAACTGATTATTTTTTTAAATATAAAAATAACCAAATGTAAATAAGATAATAACAGTGACAAAAACCGTGCATGTAAAATGAAAGCGACATATCATTCTACAGTTGATCTTACAACAACCTTTTGATTTATAAGGATTGGTTGGAAAAGAAAACGACATATTCAAATTATCCTTGAATACAATCAACTCTGGGCAAGAAAGATATATGAAAGACTCGAATCTTCAAACATCCCAATATTCTATTCAATTAAAATAAACACAACAGCATGTTTTATTATAGATGAAAGGGAGGCATTGGAGCACCTTTGATATATGATTCCTGAATTACATTATATTTATAATAAACAGCTGCGCCCTGAGCGCATGATACGCCCGTCGTCTTGTGTGTGAATTTTTATGCAATAAGCATAAATAGTTTCTGACATACGGTGTGACATGCGAAAACCCCCCTTTTTTTTTTACAAAAAACTCAATATCTCTAAAATAAAATTTTGAATCAAAACCAAAAAGTATACAGATCTTTAGATTAATATAACTAAGAGGTATGTAAAAATATTAAGCAATAATCATAAATCAGTTTTGAGATATGGCGTGACATGTGAAAACCCCCCCTTTTAAAAAAAAAAAAATCAATATCTCGAAATTTGAAATTTTGAATCAAAACCAAAAAGTATACAGATCTTTAGATTAATATAACTAAGAAGTGTGTAAAATTTTAAGCAATAATCATAAATCGTTTTTGAGATACGGCGCCAAATGTGAAAAACCCCTCCCCCTTTTTTTACAAAATACTCAATAACTCAAAAATAAAATTTTGAATCATCACCAAAAAGTATACAGATCTTAAGGTTAATATAACTAAAAAGTGTGTAAAGTTTTAAGCAATAATCATAAACTGTTTTTAAGATACGGCGCGACATGTGAAAAACCCCTCCCCCTTTTTTAACAAAATACTCAATATCTCTAAAATAAAATTTTGAATCATCACCAAAAAGTATACAGATCTTAAGATTAATATAACTAAGAAGTGTGTAAAGTTTTAAGCAATAATCATAAATTGTTTTTGAGATACGGCGCGACATGTGAAAAAAAACACCCACCTGTTTTAGTTACTAAGTCCCGTAACTCAAAAAGTTTTAATCTTATTGTTTCCAAAAAGTATACAGATCATTTGACCATCATAAGAAACAACTATATTAAGTTTCATGAAATTTGGATAAGTCATTCTCAAGTTACGGTGCGACATGTTTACGGTGGACAGACAGACGGACAGACAGACAGACGGATGGACGCCGGACATTTGTATACCATAATACGTCCCATCAAAAATTTGACGGGCGTATAAAAACAGCAGAGCTAAAAGTTGTAGGGAAAAAGCAGCATTTCATTTTCCCAGCTTTAGGTTGGCCTTTTGTGTACCCAGGTGAAGGATGTCAACTATGGATCATTAAATAATGATTGGATGTAAGGGTAAATATATTTTTTTATTTATTTATCAATAAATGCAGTATGTATATTTACAAAATACATTTCGAAAAAAAGGGAAATATTTTGTTGAGAATTATCGTAAAGGCTTTCAAATTTTCAAAAATTTGATGTAAAATGACGGTGGCCATGGATGTTATAAACAAGAATCGGTCATGAATCGGTTATTTGAAATCAATCTCTAAAACAGAATAATAAGTTAATTATATCACACATAAATGTTTTGTTCAGTTTTTGATTATAAAAAGTGGTAAATTTAGAAGATGTTAGTATTGTTGCATATGGAGGGGAAAAAATATCTGTTTCTCTGTAGATACACATTTTTGTTGAAAAAATGAATTATGTTTTCTCCACACTGGTACATACCTATCAAAACGACTTATTGCTTCTGCCAATTTATTGGGTTCTGCATCTGCTGGGCTTGGGTCTACATTATCGTTACTAAATGAGCTCAACAGCAAAGCAAGAAACAAATTCAAAACCTAGAAAAAATGAATCATTAAATGTTTTACATAGATTTTTCGTAAAATGAGAAATAATTGGCAGTTCTAGGATACATAGAATTTGAGGATATTAAAATACATTAAAAGTTTTTGTTTAAATCTTTAGGTCATACTTTAAAATTTTATGAATTATTACTCAAAAAGGCAACATATATGGAAATTTGTTATTTCTGTGCAAGTTTCACAGGTAAAGTAAACAGTTTATCACATTTTGAATTTGTGGTGTTTCTTTATTAAACTTTAATGTAGATCCGATAATTCATAATAGATATGTGATGTTGGTAGGATTGAATACAGATTGATTACATAAACTTTGATATCATAGACCAATTAAGTATATTTAATCTCTAGCTAATGAAATGCAGACTTACCCTTCCAGAGCACATGTGACCACCCCTGTTTTTGGTGGGTTCTTGTTACTCAAGTCTTTAATTTTTGTATGTTGTGTTTTGTGTACTGTTGTGTGTCTTATTGATCATTTTCCGTTTTTAGCCATGGCATTGTCAGTTTGTTTTCGACTTATGAGTTTGAATATCACTTTGGTATCTTTCGCCTCTCTTTTATGCAATATCAACTACAACTACAATCAAATACTCACCACAAGATTGCCGATGGTAAACGTCAGTAGGAAAAAGGGAATACAAGGCCATCCTGAAACACGTTGACACCCCCACATTGATTCAATCCATTCTCCACATAACACACGGAAAACTATCATAAAGGAATGCAAAAAGTCCATAAAATGCCATCTAGGTCTCTCTGAGTCTCTTAAACTAGCAATGGTTTCATTTGGATTTCCATACCTTTCATAGCTTGCACCAAACAGCTGCTGGCCCATTACAGCAAATATAAATATCACTATTCCCAATACAAATACAAGATTTCCTAAAGCGCCCATAGTTCTTGCTACTACACTTATTAACATATTAAGAGTAGGCCAGGATTTCGCTAGTTTAAATACACGAAGCTGAAAAGTGTAAAAAGAGAAAAAAAGTATCTACCGTTCAAATTCTAAAATTGTTTTGTAAAAATTATAATATTTCATTTAAATCTAAAAATGAAAAAAAAACTTATACCATCTAGATACATAAGAAACGTTTACACAAAAACATTCTTAAACAAGTTGAACTGTATACAAGCTAATGGTTACTAACAATACTCTAAGAGTATTCGGTTAACAGGAAATTGACGAGTCATGGCTGAGAAAAGACATCACACTATATTACTTGAAGGCATAAAATCTAAAGAAGAATTGTCAAATGGATTTTTAAATCATGACCTGTAAAATAAGTAACCAATTTTTAAGACACTTTATCTGAATAAGCCTTGAATGGTTACTGCAGGGACGGTCTATACTATGTTAGTATAGAAAGTTCCTGGTTACTGTCAAGACAATCGAAATCAAATTTCACTTGTATATCATAGTCAATTACTTTGTGTTGACATTTTAAAAGATTTAGTCATGCAGTAATCCCAAATATTAAGATAACTAAAGGGCATTACTCTTATACAGTAAATGTTAAGACCCTCAACATCAAATATGATATTGTGTTCATATTTCAAAAGGTTTGGCCAAGCCATACTTTAATTATCATCGTGAAACCATAATAGTGCAAAAGTGACGATCATGTGAAAAACTTTATACTCCCTGAGGCGGGGTATTGAAAAATAAGTATAATAGACATTTTAGTGTAATAAAACTAGCAATTAAAACATACAACTTTCTTTTAAATATGTAGATTTGATTACTTAAAATAAACCAATTTGGCCTCATTTAAGGAATTTCTCAAAATAACTTTGCATTATCGGCATATTTATCCCAAACTGTCGAAATTCAGGTAAAAGGTTTCAGTAATCTCATAAAATTAAGTATTCCAAACGAATCTTCGCCGTCGTGATATTTTATCAACATTGTAAGATATCATTATATTTGTTTATTGTGTTAATACATGTTGGTCACAAACTGTAAAGTTTATACGACAATAAAATATTTGATTTGATTTGATTATAAATTATGGCACGAGAGTTTTGTGGGTCAATCATTGGACGGCATTTAGACTAAGTGTTATTTCAGGCTTTTATCTACCAGATTTACCATTCAAAACATATAAAAACATACCAATCTAAAACTTCTCAGTACAGATAAGCCTTTAACACCTTCTAGTGCCAACTCCACGAAACTCAAAATAACAATTACTATATCAAAGCAATTCCAGCGATCTTTAAGATATTCCATGGGGTTTAGGGCTATTATTTTCAGGAAGGCTTCAGCAGCAAATATTCCAGTAAATACCTGAATAAGAATATAATGATTAAGAGAAACCATTGGTGAATTAAAATCTCAAAGTTTTAAAAAGATTACTATATTTTCAATAGATTAAAAATAATACAAAAATATTTATCACAGTTCTTACTTCTTATTTTATAAAATCATATGCGAAACGTCACTAGGTTAAAAGAAAACTAAGGACAATTTTCTGCAAGATTTTGTTAATTTTAACAAAGTAGAAAAGGATATAAAATTGTTGGGCGTAAAAGTGTAAATTCAAATATTTGCATAATATTAAATCCTGTTGTATGCAGGTCGTACTTTCAAAATGACCACCCTCCCATTCCCAGATGAATAAAAATAAAAAGTTCCTTGAAAAAATATGTCGAACACATTTGTAAGGGATGTTTTTTTCAAATAGGACAATGGTTAAAAACATAAGAATTTTACAGACGAATGAACGATGTCAGTGGACTTAAAGTAACTGTCCGTTACCTTTTATTGAGACTAGGAACCGCAATTTAGTACGAGTTTTCTAGAGTACTAAAAAGTATTTAAAACTAAAGTACTGAGCTCCAAGGTAAATTAAAAAAGGGGGAAGTCCATAAATTTGACAAAATCAAATGCTCGACTATATTAACTAACGGAACGAATGGAAAACAACTGTCATATTTCTGACTTGACACAGGCGAAAATGATGGATTAAACCTTGTTTTATAGCTAGCTAAACCTCCCGCTTGTATGATTGTTGTTTATTGTTCTGTTTTATTGACAAAATTGGGTGAGCAACCCAAATAGACATATAATTAATTTGTAAACATGACAATAATTGGGATTTACTTCATTCAACCAGACCAAGGGGACAAAATTAAACTTATATGCATTTCGAAAACTATTATTTTTATTATTACCCCTATGGTAAGCAAAGCGTCAATTGTAATTAGAAACAACAACAACTTAAATAAATAAATAAATAGCAAATCACCAAATTTCCGGCTTCCAAAAACATTTTCATTTCTCTCGTCATTCCATAGTGATCCGCAGCCATAAATCCTGTATTCACTAAGATGCATATCGTAATAAACAAATCAATGAAGGCGTCTAAGATAAAAAGTGCAACAATCTTCTGGAACGTTAGGTATGCAGGACAGCATGTCCAACTACAGAAAATACGTTGTAATTTCTTTATCATTTTCTCTTCTTCAAAACTGCCTTCACTGAATATACCTGTAAAAATCAAATAGAATTGGCTCAGGCAACACTAAATTAATTTCTTATTCCTCTAAACATGATTAATTACATTTCTAAATAATATATGAATATTAGAAAAAAAACAGGTATCAAATAGAAAAAGGTTATAAGGGAATACCAAATTGTTTTGTATTCATTGGAATAAAATGATTAATTAAACAAACAAATAAGTACCAATATCATAATTGCGTAAAAAGTTATGTTTACAGTGTGTTCTTATGTTGTGCAGTGACACCACTGTGCCAGGTGAGGGGGAGGGCTGAGCGCTCACAAACATGTTGAACTCCGTCACACTATTTATGTGCCTGTCCGCCAAGTCAGGAGAATGTAATTCAGTGGATGTAGTCGGTTGGTGTCTGCCATATTTATTTTCCCTTTATTGTTTTACTATAAATTAGTCGTTAGTTTTCTTTTTTGAACTGTTTCACATTTTGTCATGCTGGGACCTTTTCTATATTACTATAGGGTAGATATCATGCTCATTATTGAAAGCCGTATGATGACTAATATTTGTTTAAATCCTCGTCCTTTGGTCTTGTGTGGATGGTTGCCTCATCGGCAATCATATCATATATCCTTGATTACATAAATCTACCTCATCAGCAATCATATCATATATCCTTGATTACATAAATCTAAAGTATTTATCCACTATTTGAAGTCTAAGGTTTAAGCAAACCGGTCCACTTTAATAATTTTCTCTACAAGATTGTCTTAAAGCTTATTCATTATTCCTTATATGTAACATACATGTACATGCTCATAAGAAGGTACTTATACAGGAAAAAATTGTAGGTCATAAACAACAGAGATGTTCAATAATTTCATCAAAATTCACTAAAAGAACTACATTTTTGGATTTATCTCCGTGTTTGAGAAAACTTATTTAAAGTTGATGAAATCATATTTAAAACGAGTGAAAACACCAAGGGCAATTAAACCTGTAAGTCGAATAAAAATGGACAACACAATGGCCAAAAAAAAGAGAAGACGAAAAGACAACCAATAGTCTACAAAACTACACAGAAAACTAAAGATTGAGTAACAGGAACCCCTCCAAAAACCGGGGGTTAATACAGGTGCTTCAGAAAGGTAAGCAGTTTCTGCTCCACCAGAGGCACCCATGTTGTTGCACACATGGCAAGTAAAAATTCGGTGATAAGTTGATTTCAGTGATGTCATTCATGATTGCAGCTACGATAGTGGAATAGATTTGGTGATTTGTGACATTTATTCAAGAACGGTCAACCTAATCATGATAGTATCCGAAAATATTCACCATTTGGGACCCTTTTTTCAATATAAATTGACCTAGCTGATATATATTTTATCTGAGAAAAAAATTTGGTTTACTGAATGCAAACGCAATGAGCGAACTGATAATAAGCAGAAAAAATCAAAATCATGTTAACAAATCTCATCAAAAATATCAGAGACTCTATTTACAAAAAATCTTACGATTAGAATTGATCTTTATCAATTAATTTGTGTAACATGATTTGCATACAAAGACAATAACATATTTTTCATGAAGACTATAAGTATGTCTTGAATTATTTGATTCTTTTGATACATGTAGTATGAGTCGTTCCATTTTTTTAAATTTCTATTCCCATCAACGATCTCAAACATTTAATCCATAGAGATTCAGATAGACGTCTTCGCTTTAATATTTTCCATTGTCAATTCGATTTAATCCAAAGCATAATTGCAAATTTGTAAGTAACGTTTCAATGTAAGTTGCTATGATAATCTGAGTAGGTCTATAAGTGAATGGGGAACTTCCATATGCATACTTGAAGTCGTCAATGTTAAGGTGTCATGCAACTCGTATTTTAGTTTAAAATTGTAGTTGCAACAAATAAAATTATAAATATTTTCAGAAATAAAATATCAGAGGACAGACTGCATCATCCCCCCTCCTCCCCCCCACCCCCCCAAGAAAAAAGAGACAAAAAATATTCCACTAAAGACAAAAAAGAAAACTTCATCAAGTACCATAACCAAACCAAAATCTCAAAATGTGCAATTTATGTTTCGCTTCTTGGTACGTACCCGTAGTGTTTTTTATGACAAGTAATTTAGCAATACTTCTTGGAACAAACTTAGTTTTCAATTAGGAAAAATTTTAGACAAACTTGACTGATTTATACGAACAGATAATGGGAAAGAAATATCTGTACTTACTTGGTCTGTGACTTGATGCATGCTCTAGAAGTTCCTTCAATACCATTACATCTAAAAAGAAATAAATTGCAGAAAGATATATTAGTCATCTGTTATCTTGTTCAAACGGTTTGATAATTCGAGCCGAGCATAGAAAAAAAATAGATGTGGTATGATTGCCAATGGAACGAATATTCATAAAAATAGGACAAAGATATAAACAATTACAAACCATTGTTATCAAATCAGAAATTTTCGTTTAAATAATCTAACTTCAGTTATCTTAGGAGTTTTCAATTTATGACTGATTTTTTAATTTAGTCAAAGGATTCAGACCATATCGTCAATATAACTTTTGGTCAAATGTTGCAGTGATTTCGCATTCAGAATGCTAGTAGTTTTCCATTTATATCAGTGGAATAAACTCGAACCAGACATTGTGTGAACAACTAAAATCTTAGAAGCACCAGGCTGCATTTACTATTCAAACATTTTACGATTGTAATTATCTGTACACAACTATATCAAACACTTGCGTAAAAGCGATTTTAATCATTGTTCCTATCTCTGTAAGGACTACAGAAGCATACAATCAGACCATAAATATAGCATAAGGGATCACTCTACTTTTATCAAAACTCTGGGTCTCTTTCTATAGAACAATTGTGGATTCAACAAGTATTTGCCAAACAGAGAATAACAACAATGTATATTCAGTCGCTTATCAATTTGGTAGTGTTTTGATAGTGATGATTATATACTAAATAATGTTTGTAATAAATTTATCCTACATTTATGTGTATCATGCTGGTCAAAGTTGTAAGACTTTATTCAAAATGATAAAAGAAATTCCAATGTATTTCGTAACAAATAATTGGATCGTTCTGGGTATTGCATAACAGAAGTTTGACACTCTCATAGGATTTTAAATGGTTCAACACCTATATTTACCTCGGTGTGTAGGGCCTTAATAATCCTTATCATTTTACGTGTAAAATGAAAATAACACTTCATAAATTATGAGCGTCCGAAGCACTTTTCTAGATACACCTTCACCAGGAGCTCTCAAATCCAAATTTTTTATAGCCTTGGATGTATGACAACTTGAATATATGGGGAGCTTTATGACCAAAAAGAGACATAAAATAATAGTAAAATTCACCTGAGGGAGTTGGAACCTTAGTTAAAAAAAAGTAACTTCGACATTTATCAACAGAGAAATTATGAAAGGTGTGTTATAGATCATGTCAGTAGTACCGAAAAGAACTTAATGAACATATCATATTTAATACTTAACTTTTCAAGCTAAATAAATATGTTTCCTATTGGATTCAGAGCTAAAAAATAATAATACCTTGTACATCAACAGTCCTTCCACTAGAAGTTCTACAAACAGTGTTGTGGTCTGCCTTCTTTTTTTCTCCGTCAAATTCTGATCCTGCAGTCGAATCCTACAAACAATTGTTTTAGTTATAGCGTTAAAAGAAAACCTTTACCTCCTGAACAAAAATCAATTCAGATCTAGTTTGAAAATCAAAACATATTTTAATGTATTTCTAAAGCAAAGATGCTTGTGATACAATCCTTATAATGTCGGTATATAAATTAAAAAAATACGATTTCCCAACTGTCTCTATATGAATAAATGCCTGTGACTATAAAATTTCATATATATCAGTGCCTCACGTTTAAACACCAACATAATAGAATCAGAAAAATATAAAAAGAATTTAAGATTCGCTATATAATAATATTTTAGCATTTAAGATTCGGTTATTTGATCAAAAAACATTATTTACGACCTTTTCCTGTTGTTTTAATTGATTATATTGGTAAAATAATATTACAGGGTTATCAAAAACTGTTGTCAAGTTTAAAAAAAATAAGAACACAAAACCACTTCCTGACAAGCAAATAACTTGACAGCTTGTTATAATAAACAAGTAACTTTACTTCTTGTTATATAGTAGACAAGTAACTTTACTGATTGTTATATAATAATCACGATAATCATTGTTATTATTTTATTAGTTATTGTTGTTAATATATCTTGTCATATAAGTTGTTATCACAAGTTTTATACAGAAGAACGTCTATACAAATTGATATTAGAGGGTGCAAACTGAAGCTCCGTTAACACAGCAAATTATATGTAACACAACTAGTATGCTAAGCTTTAAGCAAGCTACCACCCTTGTGTAAAGATAGTTTCCGATTCTTTGTGAAAAGATTATTGTATGTATAATGAATGATTTGATTCAATTCTTATCCACTGAAATTTATATTAAAATAATTAACTTTCAATTAATGGGAAATCTGACGGTCTATACACCATATATATTAAGAAATTATGATGTTCAAACTTGCACAACGAATTCCGTGTACCTTTTCCCTCAGGTTTAAATAATTTTAAAGCTATTTCATCTTAAAACACACTACAACATGTACTCAAAATTGAGAGTTCTAAATATACATGAATCTTTTCACATGTTATAATTGTCTCAAATCATTGTTAGCACATTATTAATTGGCTTCTGAACGAGCATACAAAAAATAAATAGTGTCCAAAACTATGTGAATGAAAAATAAAAAATTTTCCAAACAATGTTTATCAAACATTGACGCAAACATTTGTTATGGGTAGAATATGACAATGATATTATTTACCAAAATTGAATCAAACATGCATCTTATCTATCAGATTTTAACATGCTGGAATTTAAATGATACAACTGTGCTCTACAAAAATGCCGGTTCTAAAAATTATCTACTGAATTTTAACTATAAAGATGCATTAAACTGTACAAAAAGTCCAACCTTATACACATTGGAAACTTCTGTTTAAAATATTTTTCTACAGTTTATTTGACAAATTTATATCATTTTATTTTCGAGAGCGTAATTTTGAAAGTAAAAAGGAATTAACAAAATCTTATTTAACTTTTCAATTTGAAATCTGGTTGGTGAACTTACATTTTCATCAGATTTAGTTTTATCCACAATTACCTCAGGTAACAGATGTGGATGTTTCTTGGCCCAACGTTCTAACAATTTTGCTGTTTTATCTTTTGGGGATCTTGGGTGTTCACGTGAACGTATGCTTGCTCTTGAAGCCCTACTTATTAGTGAAGCATAACTGCTGCGTCTCGAGGACGCCCGCCCGTCACCACCATGTGAACGGCGACCTATTGAAGCAAAACTACTTCTTCGTGCAGTTAAAAACTGTTTATTAATAGGTAATGTGCATAGATCATCAGAGTTTGGCGTAACTGCATTTGAATCATCTGCGTAAGGTAGGTTGTTCCGAATATCTAAAAATGGTGGCACTAGGGGTTGATGGTCTGGGTGTGAAGGTGGTAAGTGCTTGGCATATTTCATCCTCCAGCTGCTGCGACGAGAAAATGGAGAACTAGGAAGGCTTGAACATGGCTGAAATGAAATTGACAACTCATAAAACTGTGGGTCGTTGACAAAGTTACACAGAAAATAGTTTTTTACTTGCTGAAAGAAGGAGAGGAGTAAACTGCTTTATTTTATTCCCAATTTGTTAAAAAAAAAAACCAGTAGTTATTCTTTTTGAACTATGCTCATATGCACATTTTAAAATATATTAAGAACTGTTTTACTAACCATAACATTATTTTGTGTGTAACTTTAGATAGGGATAAACTGTAAGCTACATAAATGACAACTAACCTAAACTAGTCTAAATCTTTATATCATGGATGAACTATAGGTATATTGCTTCTGAACATGCAAATAATTGTTCTCAATCTTTCATGTTTACAAAGTTAAACACGCGAAGCATATATATTATTCATCTTATTAAAGGATATTTTTATGTATGATATTATAAAAAATGGAGAAAAAATGATACTAAGGTATTTGTTTTCGTCTTTTACGACTGTTATATTAATAAATGCACACATATAGATTGGTAGATATTATCTGAACGTGTCGTTTTGTAATAATAATTCCAATAAAAGAAATGTATATAACTCTACAGAGCAGAGACAGTCAAATGAAAAGCTGATTGAACGTTTTGTTACTTAGTTTTCAATTCCGTTGTAATATCATATGCAGACCATTTCATTCTATTTCAAACGTAATATCATTTTTATTTCCACATACATGTATTGGTAAACCTTGTGCCTAACTCTTGGTGGCAAGTTTTTTTTTATCTTTTTGTTAAATCTGTGGGATGCTGAGATAGGTAATATTATATTACCGGTATATAAAAAAAACATTATCATTGAAATTGGTGTTTAAGAAGCAACTGACGAGCTACCCCTACTTCCCTTTAATGTTATACATGTTTCACACCTATACTTATTTCGAAGACAATAAAATTGTTACATAAAACTCTATGCAATATTGATGTGGAGTTATAAAAATGCGACTATATTTATTTTTAGTTTAATTACAAAACCACCAAATGTTCTTGGTAAAACTGTATAATTATGTACTTTCTGTTATAAAATTTAGACGATCTGTAGGCAAACCATGGTGGGGTCTCAACATACAAGTTTGGGTACAGACATACGGCTGAGATTTCCCCCCCCCCCCCCCAAATCATATACTGATTCTAGCATTTATTTCATAGGAAAAATTGAAACCCATTTATATATTTCATAGCTATCAAACATAAAATATGTGATATCTTATTCAAATGTTTACCACAGGGGAGCATTCATATTATTAGATAAAAAGATCAATACACATTGTTTTACACGCATCTTAACAGAAAATGAACATGTATGACCCATTGGCATATAAATTCCTACCCATTGATATATTGCCTCCGTGAAATTGCACCCCATTGATATATTTTACATTCCAAAAAAGTGACCCATACCAGCAGCACGTCTGTGTATACCTTTATATAGGAAGATACACCCCTCCTCCCCTACCCCCACCGAAAATGCAAACGCTAACGTTCCTTTTAATTAACCTACAAAAATGTGTGCTTTCCATAAGATGTCATGAAACTCCGAAAAACTCAGAGCACGAAAAATTGGATGCGATTATTGAATTTTGATGAATATAGAAGGAGGTACACACTTTAAATATCAAAAAAGGAAATAGCAGGTCGGGGAAAGTTGAAATTGGTTAGAGATTAGAAGAAGAAGAAACAACAGGAATCAATATATATCCATTTTTAAGCAAAGAAAATATTTATATAGAGAAACTTGTGATTTTCATAAACACCATTTTCTTCATTCACAATAATAATAATCATAACTGTGTAACATAATTAATAGGACTATGAAATGTTAGACTCTCAAATGAGTTTATGCTAAAAAGTGAAACGACTTATTAAAGGACACTTAATAAAAGGACAATTATATAGACATAAAGATGGAATGAAGCTTCATCTCTCAAATATCTTTGACAGATTTTGCATGTTTGTATCAAATAGTAATGTCTACAAAATCAAAAGCAACAATTAACATTCTGCATTTGAAGCAAGCTCTCTTGCAACAAAAAGCCACCATAAGCAAAAATGACATCTTTGCGAATAGATCAATCCACACAGTAAATTTTTGTTTATTATGTTGATATGCAATAAATGTTTACATCATTACTACTGAGTCACCTAGAAATTAACGAGTCTATAAGGATATAAATTAAGCAAAGGCAATACTTATCGCTGTATGCAAGTACAGCAACATATAAAAAGTTCTGCAATCCAATTTACAGTATCGCGAAGCGTGTAATTCCAAAATTATGAATGCAAAATATTGAATTTACATGTAGGCTATAACAGAACACACATTTACATAAGTCTCAACGTCAACGTTACGTAATAAAACACATATAGCAGTTACCTTCGATACGCTTAAATGATTTTCGACTGCAGTCGGCTTTTCTGACTTGATAGACTCTCTTTCGTCGTCATTTATATCATGTAAACTGCCTGTAATATCTGATGGCTCCTTTGTAAGCATCTCGATGAGCTCTCTCTTGTCATGTTCGTGTCTTTCTTGTTCAAGCTAAATACAGTAGAGGAATACATGTTTGATAACCAAATTAATTAATTGTACGTTTATCTCATTAAATATAAATACTTAGTTAAGATAAAATAACATTAAAATATAACTTTCTAACTTATTTATTCTTTAATTTTTATGCATGACAGAGTTCTCGAAATCTTTTTTTGCCTGGTGGTCCTTGAAGAAAATATGAAGGTTCTCACTATCATTTCTATTGCAAATTACCAAAATTGTGTTGGTCCTTCCCAAAAATGTGGTGGTCAAATCCCTAGGACCACCACTTATCGAGAACTCTGGTATGAAATCAGTATTAAATTATAAAAGACATTGACAACATTTTAATAAATAATGACAATTTAATCATTTTTGTATTTTAGAATATTTTTTTTTAAAATGTACTGGTACTGACATCAGTAGAATCAAGGAGAGAAATAGAGATTGGAAGTTAATATTCTTAAAATATTTACATAATAATTTTTATAAATACGTTTGGTGAATTTTGAAAAGAGGTAGGACAAATTTCAAAATGTATATCAATATCAATCTTAAATTTACAGTATCTCAGTCATATGGCTTATATTCAAAACATATAACCAAATTATAAACGCCTGAAAATGGACAAATAAGTAGTAAAGTGTGAGCTTTTTAAATTGAAACGTAAATTGGTAGAGCCAAATGGCCCAAGATGGCGGCCATCTTCTGGACTGACCCATAAAAGAAACTTCAGGAATAAAGGTAGAAACATGACCATATATGCACATATATAATCCTTAAGGACGTCATATTTCATCGTAAAAATTTACAGTAGGTGTTTAATACATACAAATGCTGATCTTTTATTAACCCGAAAGACGAATCATTTGATTCCATCATATGCTTTTGTAGTGTATGAAACAACACATGTCTAATGAACGCAACACAAACTGTATAATAGCAACATATGCCGAATGAAAGCAGCACAAACCGTGTGAAAGCAACCCAAGAATTATTAGCTCCGCCCACCTTATTAATCAATACTATTTTTTCGCATTGTTCGTGTACTTCGTGCAAAAGGTTATGCTTTTAAAAAATCGCATATGTAATTGATTTAAAAAAAATGACAATATTATCTTGTGTTTAAAGTTTTACTTCCATGCTTCGTACAAAATGTGATCCTTGCTTTCAATTCATTTAAATTTTTAAAAAATCAGCGTTCAATTCTAACAAAAAAACAGAATTATAATACCTAAAAAGATCGTAACAAAAGAATTGATTCCCCGGTATAAACAAACCTATATGTTAAAAATTAACTTTTGGAACAGCTAACTAATAACAGCGTAGAAGAATGGTTTTGTTATGTCCACTTTCTTTATATAGTATTTCGCTAAATACTAAAAGTTATTGGTGGATAGTTGTTCCATAATGGCAATGATACCACTCTCTTTTACTTGGAAATAAATATAAAATATAGCTAAGGTTACGTTATGATAAACTGTGTAAAAACAGTGACACAGTTGGCCCGTATTTAAATTAGGTGTATTTTTTTAAGAAATAAATATGTTTTGTTAGTTTTCTGTTAAAATAGGAGTTGGCTATATGTCAATGAGACAACAACCAAGTTGGCTATATGTTAATGAGACAATTCGATCAAGTTGGCTATATGTCAATGAGACAACAACCAAGTTGGCTATATGTCAATGAGACAACGATCAAGTTGGCTATATGTCAATGAGACAACGATCAAGTTGGCTATATGTCAATGAGACAACAACCAAGTTGGCTATATGTCAATGAGACAATTCGATCAGGTTGGCTATATGTCAATGAGATAACAACCAAGTTGGCTATATGTCAATGAGACAACGATCAAGTTGGCTATATGTCAATGAGACAACAACCAAGTTGGCTATATGTCAATGAGACAACGATCAAGTTGGCTATATGTCAATGAGACAACGATCAAGTTGGCTATATGTCAATGAGACAACAACCAAGTTGGCTATATGTCAATGAGACAATTCGATCAGGTTGGCTATATGTCAATGAGATAACAACCAAGTTGGCTATATGTCAATGAGACAACGATCAAGTTGGCTATATGTCAATGAGACAATAACCAAGTTGGCTATATGTCTATGAGACAATTCGATCAGGTTGGCTATATGTCAATGAGACAACAACCAAGATGGCTATATGTCAATGAGAAAATTTGATCAAGTTGGCTATATATCATTGAGACAACAACCAAGTTGGCTATATGCCAATGAGACAACAACCAAGATGGCTATATATCAATGAGACAACAACCAAGATGGCTATATGTCAATGAGACAACAACCAAGTTGGCTATATGTCATTGAGACAACAATCAAGTTGGCTATATATCAATGAGACAACAACCAAGTTGGCTATATGTCAATGAGACAACAACCAAGATGGCTATATGTCAATGAGACAACAACCAAGATGGCTATATGTCAATGAGACAACAACCAAAAATACAACCATAGACTACAAAAAGGTCTAATTCTTGATACATAATCATATTTGTTTGAAAAACCAGTTGCAGTTTAATCAACTTTTAAAGTCATATGATGTTTTTTGTCAGTTTAAATGAATCCTTTTTACATAAATTGCTAAAGATGTTTGAACATTTTCTAAAACAATAGATTATACTTGAAGCTAATATCAAGCAAGAACAAAAGCCCATGTGAGCAAAACAATAAAAATATCTTATCATACATTATTTCAAAGTAAACTGTTAGTAGTGAATTATTCATTTGTTAGAACTGAAGAAGCAAACCATGTTGTGGGAACTGGTTCAAGATACATACCACGTGGTATATCACGTGAAAGGTATATAAGCTAGTGAATGGAAAGAGGGGTTCAAACAATCTGCCTTACCCACAACTTACCGTATTCACTAAACTGGTATAAACATCCTTTAATTTCAAATGATTAAAACATTAAATATAAGACAAAAGAATTGTTCTAAATTAAAGGAAAAACAACTGCTAACCATCATTATAATTTCCAATGACTATGTACAATAAAAATTAAACAGAGCCTTCCGCATCCTTACGAAAAAACCCGGAACTGTAAAACAACCTATTGCAAACCTCTCATTAAAACATAGCCGCGAATTGAAGATTTCAGCAATACAGTTTTAAAGCAATATGTCAGTATAGCATTAAATTACTTAAACCTGCAAACCATGATAATATTAAACCAGTTAATTGACGAGCTTATTAATCTCAATTGTGTGTTATTTGTTTAAAAGAATAAGATACCTGTTCCATCTTTTTCTGTCTTTGTGAAGCTTGGTATTTCTGAGAAATGTGAACAAATTTCATAATATTTTTTTATCCTTGTTTCCTTAAATTATAGAAATGTCTCAACTGTTTCTTTCCATTGCATTTTTTCTTACAACTGTTTTACCTTCGTTTTATACAACAAGCATTGTATATAAAAAACAAAAAAACAAAAAACAAAAAAAACAACAAACAAACAAACAAACAAACAAAAACTAACAGAATTTCTGTTTTATGACAAAGAGTTCAATTATATTCCGATAGCGACCAACGCCCTATTTCAGTCACTATCTAAACCTTCTCCCATTTTATTTAGTTGTGTGATGTAATTCGTCGACTACCGCATGGAAACTGTTTTAAAAGTGCATATGAATTCTAAGAAGGAAAAATCGTAAAAATATACCCTTTTCCCTTCTTCTTCTTCTTCGGCATCAGCTTGGTCTTGTTTCTGGGTTTCGTCGTACGACATAGCAACTATAGCTAAAATCAAGTTTACGAGATAAAACGATCCTAGGAATATCACTATCATGAAATATAAACAATACCAAGGACCTACTGCTCGCAAAATCTACAATAAACATTAAAAAAAATAGGTTAATTGTCGTCAATACATACATATCATGAAAAGCGAGACTTTCTGATCACCATACTTGGTCAATATCATACTCAAAACCACTTTTTGTATTGTTCTGATTATAGATAAGTTTGCTACTATATATTTGATAACGACTAACAATAATAATGATAAGCTGAAAGAAATTCAAACATGAAAACAACTCTTTATAAATTGCTAGTGTTCTGGAAGTGCTTTTCTTGATTTACCTACATCAGTATAACGCTCAAAGCCGAATATTTCAAAGCCAAGGATGTAGAAAAGAAAACAGTTGAAAAGGAAAGGATGAAGAACCTAATCAGTTGAAAAGCTATATAACCAAAAAGGACCTAAAAATAATAACCAAATATACCTAAGGTCAACTTTGCCTGAGGAAGTTGAAACCTTAGTTTCTCAATAAATTAATTATTGAATTCATTAAGGCAGATCAATGAACGAAACTTACCAGTTGGTATAAATTTTCCCAGTAATCTTGCGTCATTAGTCTAAAGGATAACAGCAGAGACACTCCAAAATTGTCATAGTGAGTGTAATTGTAGTTCGGATTCGAATGTGTGCCATTAATACATCTATATCCGTCTTGACATTTTCTAAAGACAATAAAAGATACACGCCTAAATTATTTTACTGATTTTAGAATAAATATTTTCCTAGTATGACTGTTGTTTATAATTTTTTTTTATATTTGCATTCTTACGTAAAACAAAATTTCCGCGTTGAACTTTGCAATAAACAGGATTATTGAGACAAAAACGACTTCGTAGAAATGTCATCTTTACAACTATTTACAGAACCACTGTGGCATTTTATTTACTGACACAATGCAAAAGATGTATCATTATTTGATATAGTAAGTTTCTAAAGGGAAATTTTCTGTGTATTATGATAAAATTTAAATTTAAAACATTTTTGATTTAAATGTTGATCATTTTGTTTAAGTAAAAGTTAAACTAAGTAGAAAATTTTAGTTTAACATTTGAAAAAAAAGACTAAAGTTTGAAAGATTTCTTTGCATTGTAGAAGATATGATAAGTCTATAAATGTATGCTCATTGAATTAAGGGAAAGTATTATAAATCTATGGAAAAAAAATATCCTTCAAATGTTCACAAGATATCATCAGTATTTATATTTCAATTCTATAATATCTTTGTGTTAGATCTTCAAAGTTCTCTTTTTTAATGCAAACTGCCAAGAGTGCCAAAAATATTATAATTTCTAGATCTTTAGATTTGAGTCAGGGCCGGCCGTACCGTAAACGATATTTAGCTACAAGATGGCTTGATTATTAGATTTGAGTCAGGGCCAGCCTTACCGTGAACGATATTTTCCTACAAGATGTCTTTTACTTGACGTTTATTCGAGTAAAATATCTTTTTTGCCAAAACGAATAAAAAAAAACAGTGCGTAAAATGACAATCTTATCAAATCTCCTTCTTTGTAAAGATTTATTTTGAAATGAGCATTTTCTCTAAATTAGTATTTTAGTACTCGTTAAATGTATTAGTGATATTAAAGAAAATACATGTAATCGAATATCACCTACCCAGCCCCGGTGGCATTTCCGCACATAGTAAACTCGTCACCGCCTTTAACCTCCCAGTTTTCTAAAAATAAAATCATTAAAATTTTTAAAAGAATTGAAACTAATGCCTCGTTCACACGTACATTTAATTCGAATTGAATTCGAATCGAATGCGAATCGAATTCGCTAATCGCGTTCACACACTCTTCTTTTTTAATTCGAATTGATTCGAATTGGCTAAATCGCATTATCCAATTCGCATTAGAAATGTGTTTTTGTTAATACGAATTAAAAGTTAACGTCGTTAGGACAGTAAAGCGAATTTGAGGCGCATTGCAATTAGAATTAGAATTTACGTTTGGACGTTAAACGTTTCGAATGCGAATTAAACTAATTCGAATTAGTTAAGGCGAATCGAATTCGAATTACGTGTGAACGCAGCATTACATCTGTATAATTACAAATGTACATTGTTAGAATATGAAATATTGAATGGACTCAAAATTTTAATTGCATATTATAAATGCTTACTACAACATGAAAAAGTATGAACAGTTTTTTTAACGAACAACCTATATCCAATCTAGTCCAAGTTTTACTGAGTTACAGTTCTTAGAGCGACAATTAAATGCTTTAGTGACACAAATTTCAAACACATACATTTATTTTAAGATACAAATATTTCACAGTGGAGTTATTATTTTGAAGTAATAAACCCCTACTGTCGTGAAGTGTTAAGAATTAATAAGGTACAGCCGATCATAGAAAGACATAGCATAACCAAAAGGATCAGTCATCTACCTATTTAGAAATTCAAATAAACTATTGAACTGATTACAGTTGCAAATTAGTAGTTATTTTAAAATAGAAAGGGAACAAATATGTCAAACCTGCAGATAAACGTGAAAATGGGAAAAAACCTGCTGTTTGTGCTTTTTTCCAACTTCAGTTTCATTTACCAAACAAATTTAACGACCACTGAGAAATTCTTTAATTGTATAAAAGGAGTTACGATATTTATAACATATTGAAACATTTTGCACAAAGTTTCTTTTTAAACAATAAATCAGTAAAGAGAGAGAACAAACATACCTTCGTCCATTATCCATTCAAACCATTCAGTTTCACTCATGTTCGTGTTTTGTGCACCGCTTTCGTTAAGAGCCAATTTTACACATTTATGACGTAACGCTCCCATATAAAGTTGCATTCCAATCAAGGCAAAAATGGATAACATAAAGATTGAAAGTATTATGACATCACGTAGCCGTCTAACGGCCTCAAGTAAGGCACCCACAATGGTTTTCAGCCCTGTAAAAAGATTTACTCAATAAATCTAGTGGTGTTGTGATTAAAAAATGAAAAATATATTATTTTTCTACAGCTGGGCATGAACAATTATTTACCAATTCATTCAAATCGTTTCACAGGCGCATGAAAGAATGGACCCCAATATTAAACACAAAAAATATGTCCTGACTTATTGAAAAAAGGGGGTCCATTCTCCAAGCGCTGTGAATCGTTTATCAATAGTATCATAATTATATAAAAAACTAATTCATCTGTACATAACATAATAATTATATATATTGTTTTAGCTTAAAAAAGTTAATTCTCGATATTACTGGTCACTTGACTTAAAATATTCTAGGAATTATAGAAGTATCTGTTTCCATAAAAGCTTCAGAAATGATTTTAAATCGTTATTTCAACTTTCGAGGGTTCTATTATTCATATTATATATATTTTTTTTCAATAGACTCCGTTTTGATGAAACGGTTTTGTGTGGTCGTCTCAATTTCTGCCCATTTGTACCGTGTCCCCGATTGATTGGGATTAAATGTGGATGTCTAAACAGCACTAAATTTACTTTGTGACAAAATCTTTAAAACAATTAATCTTTGATGCATACCGTTTCTTTTTATTGGTATTTTCTTCACAACATTCTATGATCAAGCATTGTAGTGAACGGAGTATCGATGCGTTACTCAGACATATATGCTGTCAGTAACAAATATGCCTAGTATGGTACATAGCAATGTGATCGCATAACACCATTCTAAACATATTTAAACAAATAAATTATAACCTGCTGTTTAGAAAAAAAAGGTGATTATATATGATAATTTTACCTTTATTCATATTTCATTTATCATTGCTTTTTACCCGAACATTGTCTGGCATGTAAAATTACAATTACTACATTTTGTACTTTTATATCAACTGCCTCTAAAGATTGTTAAGTACTACGCATTTAATTTTATTGAGGAAAAAGGGAATATTCATTAATACCAATTTTACTAGAAAATGTTGCATTTAGCCACGATTCCTAAGATCTCGTTAGAAATCCGGCATATTTTCAGAAAAGTTTTATATAAAAATGCAAACTCGTCAAAATGGGTTTGCCGAAAATAAAACATTTCAACATGTTTTCTGCTTGGTAATCAGGAAGATCTCTGGAACATTTTACTATGACACCAGAGCATTGTTTTCAAGTCCTTAACGAATGATTTTTCTTTCTAAAATACTGTAGACGGTTCCATCCAAAATATTAAGTGACATTTCTAATTTTATGATTTCAAAACTTTATACATGTACATATTATATGCATGTTGTCTTTTGTCAATCTCCTATTGGAGGACAAATAGTATGATGATGAAGCTAATATATGTGTTGTCATACTGGGTTAAAGAAACATGTCGCGGCCTTTTATAGCTGGCTATACGGTATGGCTTTTGCTCATTGTTGAAGGCCGTACGGTGATATTTAGTAGCGTACATTCACGGCATTTGGACTCGGGCAGATAGTTGTTTCATTGGCAATTATACCACATCTCCTTGTTTAGAATATATAATCAGCAAACTGTTTCGTCACATTCTAACATATTTCCTTGGACGGGTATTAAGTAATGTGATTATTTACCATACATATACTCTTTGCTTGGACATGTTAATATTTGCCTCTTGGTGAGACGAGGGTAGGTCGATATATATGGAATCAGGTTAAAAATATAAAAATAAATATCTTAAGCCTATTGATTGTTGTTACAATATATTTAGAAGTATATTTTACTTTTGAAATATGAATCATAAATATTTATTGCTAATGTTTTTATACAGTATATATAATTGTGTATTTGTGGGTACCATCATATACTGCACGTTAAAATAAATTAATATAATCTATGTGAATATTTCAAATATTAAAAAAGAAGAGATTAATAAGTGTATACAACACAAATGACTATAAGAGTTAGTGAGGATTTCCAAGAGAACACATATCAAATCTCTGAACCTTCACACAGAGCACAATGATGCCGTATCTAAACAGCGACAACGTCGTGTAATGACAGAAACATTCCTTTGAAAGATTGTAAAAATCAAAACATAATGCTTTAAGATGACTTACTGTGGATTCATTATTATTCGTTGGGTACCTTTTTCCGTGGATATAGGTAAACAACGAACTTAAATGTTCAACGAAGTACACATTTTCTGTAGGCTTGTATGCTGCCTTTGTCATAACCACGGAATCAAATATCCACGAAAATAACTTTTTCTCAATCCACGTTAATTGGTACCCACGAAAAAAAAATCCACTGTGCCACTGACATGAAGTAATCTTACAGAAATCAAGATCATTTGAAACAACAAAACGTATATTTGGTCAATAAACTTGGGTATCTGTTGCAAGTTATATTCCAGTTCATTGATATTTTTTTTAGCGGTTAGTTTAAATATCTTCATATTTCAAATATAATTCGATTGTGCATTTATTTCATTTATTTCCCATTCCTGTTAACGGACCACAGTGGAGCCAACCGGATTTGTTGGTTTCTACATTAATTTTTCACTTCAGTTTCCACGAGAGTAAAGTGACAACAATATCAATCTCAGAATCAAAAATGTAAGTGGAACTCGTTTCGTTGATTTTCTTGCATTAATATTTGTATGTAAAATTTCAAATGTAACTGCACATGCTCCATAAACTCACCGTAAGAACAGGAAAATTATCATTTTTTCACTAATTTTTATGTTATTGGATTTATAAAAAAATGTATATTATCCTATGGACTTGCATTAATTTGACAGATTTCTATTATTCGGTTTACGCATTAATATAATATCAAATTATTTAAAGGAACATGTTATAAACTACAACGGAACAAAGTGTACAATACTATTAAAGGGACACCACTTCTTCTTTAACAGTTCAATCAAATGAAGTAAAATTTGCCTTAAACTACTTTTCATAAGATATGAATTTCAAATGAAAACAGCAAAAAAATAAAAATGTGAAATTGTGTATATTGTGTTTAAAAACAAACAGTTAAAAAGGCCAAAATAAGTATTTCTAGTGATTAATTTTTCTGTTAATCTGTTAAGCAAACTGTTATTGAAAGAAATTGCATGCATGTCGTGGTTATGTAGTAAATAATATAAATCTAATTCAGGTGCTGTTCTACAAATTAGGCATTTTTATTAGAATATGAATTTGCATACGCTAACTTGGTGCAATCACACATCTGAGTCATAAAATGTACAACGTCCACATCAGCCACTATAAATCAGTTTTTCTCAAACATTTTTTCTTACGAAAAAAGTCATTTCTAAAAAAATAGTTTGATGTGTTTTGCACATTTTAAGATGCAGATACTCTTTTCATACCTGGTATCACGGCAACAGTCTTAAGAGCCCGAAGAACTCGAAATGTTCGAAGTGCTGAAAGGTTACCTAGGTCAACACCCATGGTTATATATCTGAAATAACGATTATTCTTCATATTTAAATATTTTGTCAGACACAAAACAAATACCTGGTACTACAGCCACTGTTTTAAGAGCTCTAAGTACACGAAATGTTCTAATGGCGGCAAGGTTACCTATTAGGTCCTTCGGAAGCAACATGGTAACATATCTGAAACAAAATTAGGTTGTGCTAATAAGGAAATGAAGAACATAAATAACTAAACCATCTGTGTGTATGTGCTACATCAAATACGAAAAATAATGTATTTTGTAAAATCCAAGTTTTTGATTATAAAATGTTTATAAAATTTGTTAAATGATTTTGTCAACTCTCCTATTTTTATCAAGAATCAAGAATTTTACAAATTGACTGAAATCTAAATTCTATATTACACTTGATTCAATATAAAACTAATAAATATGACTATGATTCAACTATGTGTGATTTAACAGCTGTAAAATGAACATTTATAATAAGAAGACACGTGATTTCTGTAATTTTTGGAGCTTGTATCAAAGCCATATATAAATTGTATCTAAAGAAAATGTTTTATTTGAAAAAAAATGTACACAACATCTATTGCACATGGCACAGTCCACAGTCCACAAGCACAGCTTTTGGTTCAGAGTTCTTTTGGGTGACAAAGAAACATTCAATAAAGAAACATTGAAAACTGGAGAAAGTGACGAAAAAGCAGAAAAAAGAATATTCGAACAAATTTAGTTTTATCGACAAATTTTGTTATTTGTGCATGTACGTTAAGATTTATTTGACTGGTAGAATAGTTTTGAAATAGCAGTAACAATATCACAGAATTTCCCTTAACTAAACGAAAATACAAACGTGACATGGTAAACAAGTCAAGGTATTTGCAAAATCGCTGGCGACATATTCAGTAACGTCACATTTAATACAGATTTTAGGGATTTTACCAATTGAATAAACAGCCAGTGATTTTATAAATGAATTTTCATTGCTTATAATAAAAATCCAAACATAACAAATAGACTACAAAATATAGAAAGAAAAACATGCGTAACTTTTTATACTTCACAATGAAAAGGTCGACTGGAAACAGTCAACACTATATTCTGAAATCTCAACAGCGACAAACCAGTTGTATATATTGCCAATATTTTTGAGTAATTTGTTTCATTCAGGATTACTAGATTGATAGAAGTAATATTCTTTAAAGGTTTTTAACAGACACTGTAGAAATAGACTACAAAAATTGCAGATTGACAGAAAACATGCCAATATACTTCTTTAATCAAAGATACACATGTATTAAAATCATATTCGCCTAGAGTATTTCAACTAATGTTACATGTCAGAGTATTTCAACTTATGTTGCATGTCAGAATATTTCAACTAATGTTACATGTCAGAATCGAGTAGAGCAGAAACTGTTAACATAACGACCACATGAGTTCACATCTAGTTTTTGATGGCACAATATATAAAATGTTTAACGGTGAATATTTGAACAAAAGCTTCAAATCTGTTGTCCTTATTTTACGTACTGACTATCGTGAATAGACAAAGTTCAGTTCATGTATGAAAGTATAAAACTTTCCGTATTTAACTTAACTTAGTTTACTCTTTCCATTTAACATTTATAATATGGGTGAAATATATTGCATCAGAAGTGTAAAGAAGAGGCAAAATATATCAACAATCAATTCAAACATATTTTAATTAAGCATAATATTAAAAATAATAATGATAAATATGACAATAAAACAAATTTGACCATTATATACACATGCACGTAAATAGCTGCATATACAGATACAGATCAAATAACGATCTAAGCCCAAGATACACTGTTATTAGGATATACAATCTATCAACAACTCATATATACATACCATATGAATAACACGATGTATAATGTTGTTTTTTTTAAATACTCTGATAATTACACGCGATAAGTAAAATTCATTTGCATCATAAAGTTAACTTAGCTACAGTAACTAGTATACAGAGTTAAAACTGGTGTGGGATACATGTACTTGCAAAGAAGTGAGAGAAAGCGAATGCTTATGGTGTGTCTATAAACATTCAAAACACGTTTTAATGTATAAATACTTTCACTAAAATGTTCTTTATATCATAAAAAATTATTTCATGAAAAAAATATTCGAATTGTTATAACTAAAAGATTTTATTAAATAGCTTTCATAAAATATTTTAGTAAACAGTTAAACTTTAAATATTATATCGAAAAGTTTGAACTAAAATATCTTATTGAATAGTTATAACTCAAAGAAAAGTATATCTAGAATTATTATAAATAAAACATGAATTTAAGCAAAATGGAGAAAAAAAATATTTAAATTGCTTATTTGGTCACTGTAAAATATCTGTATAAAAATAACTGAAATTATTATAATTTGCTCTGTTAAAGGCTCACACATTTCCAAAATTTAAAGAATACTTGAAAAAACGTGTAAGAGACCTTTTTTGATATTCTATTTAAGAAGAGTAAGTTTTACGTTCATCTACTGAATAAGACCTTCATTTATATATGTATACAAATATATTATCTTACTTACGCTAAAGATATAACAGTAAAATCCAACCAATTCCACAAATCTCTAAGGTAGGTGTAAGGTTTAAGAATAAAACCTCTTGCTGTAATTTTAACAACTGCTTCTATTGTATAAATTCCCGTAAACACATATCTGAAATGAGAAGAAACAACACGTTCTTATGCTTATTCTTGTAACCGTAATCTTCGACATGGCAATATTTAGAAACAGTCAGAATTCTGCGATCTGATTGTAGTAATAGTACAATGTATATACATATCTTCTGACTAGCAATGTGCTAAACTTCTGCGTTAGATATTCCTTGTTTCGGAATGTGGACGCATTCTGCAACTCAGACTGCCACTTTGCACGCCTTATATATAATATTAATACGGCCTTTTTTTCAAATCCAGAAAAATGAAACAGTTATGAACGAGAGATATAGGATCAACGTCAATATGACAGTTAACAAAAAAGATATCAAAAGATTGACAAACAATATTCAACACTGTATAGACAAACAGTCTCACAGTATTAAAAGCTCTATATCTCACCGAGCCTTGACTAGTTGTGATTAAAAACAACAGGGACACTAGACAAGACTAGCTCTATATCTCACCGAGCCTTGACTAGTTGTGATTAAACACAACAGGGACACTAGACAAGACTAGCTATATATCGCAACGAGTCTAGACTAGTTGTGATTAAACACATCAGGGACACTAGACAAGAATAGCTCTATATCTCACCGAGCCTTGACTAGTTGTGATTAAACACAACAGGGACACTAAACAAGACTAGCTATATATCGCAACGAGTCTAGACTAGTTGTGATTAAACACATCAGGGACACTAGACAAGAATAGCTCGTTATTTCACCGAGTCTAGACTAGTTGTGATTAAACACACCAGGGGCACTAGACAAGAATAGGTCTACATTTTACCGAGCCTTGACTAGTTGTGATTAAACACAACAGGGACACTAGACAAGAATAGCTCTATATTTCACCGAGCCTAGACTAGTTGTGAAAGAATAGCTATAGAGGTAATCCCGTAACAGTGTGGACAACCATAGTACTTTTGTTGTTTAAAATACTGAATCATTTACCTATAACTTGTTTGTCATCGGCTATCGATAACAACGATTTTACGCTCACTCAGTCTGTCAGAGGCCTTCCAGTGGGGATTTAAATAATCACTTGTTACACATTTCGATACATAAAATGAAACTCTTTTCACAATACATTAAAAAATTTGTTTGAAATATTCTTTATATCAGCACACACAACAGTTTCATTTTAGAGAATAATAAATGTTCAGAGCTAATATCATTAAATAATCGAAAAATACATTTGGATTTTCATTGTAAAAACTTCAAGTCGATGGGGTTAATTCATAAAATATCTTTAGATAAAAAATACTCCCACGTTGTGATCATTTAAAAGTAACCTACCATTTATTCAATGCATAGGATTTGTTTGTGAAAAGAGTTCCGGACGATAAAAAAAAATCATTTGTTTAACTGGATATTTATCACATGGATCATCGTTTGAATCATTCAGTCATACAGAGAACTAGTATATGATTAGTTTGCCTTGTATATTCCAGTACTACACAACTCAATTGCCTCTATTTATGTATATATCTATATGTATATCTAATTAATTAAAAGACTTTTCTGTTTGTATCGCTTTTATGTAAAGGGGAAACTGTTACGCGTGTGTGTGATCCTTTTTGTCTCTTTGACCAAAGATAGTTAGTCATAAACTAAATTGCAGTACTCGTCGATATATCATTCTTGTATCTCACGAATGCGGGTCTTTTACTTACAAAACTTATTTTCTTGTAACGTATTTTATTGTTGACGAATGAATGTTGCCCGTTTTTTTTAATGTTTTTGTCGTTTGTTTGTGTCTCATTGACATACAACCGGGTCCCCTTTTCTTCATATTTAAAAACATACGAGATGACATCAATACCAATTCATGACACAAATAACTGAGTTAAACTAACAGCAGAAGAAAGAAAAGGAAAAGCGCTTTCATGGTTGTACTTAATCTCGAAGTTACAATGTGGTCTTTGAAAAAAATGTTGCAAATAAAAAAAAAAAATTTGAATGTTTATATTGGATGTGTAAATTATAACAATTATTTCAATTTCAATCCATATTAAGCTGTTGTTTTTTTCCGCTTTGAGCAAATTTTGACCACATTTTAAAGATTAATTTCCTGCATGTTATGCACATTTTCATTGCGATCTTAAAAAGGACGAAGTTGATCTCTAAACTGCCGTCAATTATTGTGTTTGCGTAAGTTGGGCCGTTTTTAAAAAAATGAATTGATTCTAAGAAAAAATTGGAAAGGAAACAAATACTTTGTTTTAGAAAAAAGAGGAAAAAAACTAATTGATTTACATTCAAAATTACGAACGAAAAAAAAATACGACACTAAGTTTAAAAAAGGAATGTTCATGTATGTGCATGAGAACCCCCCCCCCCCCCCCTTTTCACCAAAAACAACAACAACACACACACACACACACACACTCAGAAAAGAAGAATAGTCGGTGCATAATCATTCTGCTAAGAAGGGTTTTTCACAAGTATAGTAGTTAGTAGAAAAGTTCCAGTTTCCAAAAATGTACCAAACTATACATTTTACCTACTAGTATTTCGTAAATTAATGCAAATTTCATAAGGCTTGGTCCAAATAGCTTTTTACTGTCCAATATCTTGCAAGTACGAAAAAGACCGTACGAAAGTATATTTTGACTATATTTTGTAATTGCACAACTATTGAAAGTTGATCATGCATTCGTTCTAAAATAAAATTTTACACAAGATAAAAGATACTGAGTGAAAAAATTAGACAACCGCAATGGGTTAATCGCTTTGACGTCCGAAAAAGATAATAGCCAACACATACATATATTTTTGGGGCCCGGCTTTATAGCTTGCTGTTCGGTGTGAGCCAAGGCTCCGTGTTGAAGGCCGTACTTTGACCTATAATTGTTTACTTTTTACTCATTGTGACTTGGAAGGATAGTTGTCTCATTGGCACACATACCACATCTTCTTATTCATATTGTAACTTTTAAAGCTAGTTTAATCAATTTTAATGTTTAAAGAAAGTGCGATATCATAAAAATTGTTATCAAAACATAACAAAAACGCAAGTAAAGAATGTAGAAGTATTCAATATTAATCGAAACACGAAGGTTATTCCTGTACTAGGTATTTGATGTAGGCGTTGAAAACCTTTGGTGACCCCACAGTTTAAATGTCTATAATAAATACGACGTGATAAGAGGGCGTTACAGACGAACGTTCACCCAATTTAACCCAGTCAATGGGAGACTTGAGCGCGCCAAAATGTGGTCTCGTCCACACTGTTATGAAAACGATACTATATTTCACCGAGCATAGACTGGATGTGATTAAACACAACAGGGACACTAGACAAGAATAGTTCTATATTTCACCGAGTCTAGACTAGTTGTGATTAAACACAACAGGGGCAATAGACAAGACTAGCTCTATATCTCACCGAGCCTAGGCTAGTTGTGATTAAACACAACAGGAACACTAGACAAGACTAGCTCTATATTTCACCTAGACTATACTTGTTGTGATTAAACACAACAGGGGCACTAGACAAGACTAACTCTAAATCTCACCGAGCCTAGTCTAGTTGTGATCAAACACACCAGGGGCACCAGACAAGAATAGCTATATATTTCACCTAGTCTATACTAGATGTGATTAAACGCAACAGGGGCAATAGACAAGACTAGCTCTATATCTCACCGAGCCTAGACTAGTTGTGATTAAACACAACAGGAACACTAGACAAGACTAGCTCTATATTTCACCTAGACTATACTTGTTGTGATTAAAGATAACAGGGGCACTAGACAAGACTAACTCTAAATCTCACCGAGCCTAGTCTAGTTGTGATTAAACACACCAGAGGCACTAGACAAGAATAGCTATATATTTCACCTAGTCTATACTAAATGTGATTAAACGCAACAGGGGCACTAGACAAGACTAGCTCTAAATCTCACCGAGCCTAGACTAGTTGTGATTAAGCACAACAGGAACACTAGACAAGACTAGCTCTATATTTCACCTAGTCTATACTAGTTGTGATTAAACACAACAGGGGCACAAGACAAGACTAACTCTAAATCTCACCGAGCCTAGACTTGTTGTGATTAAACACACCAGGGGCACTAGACAAGAATACCCCTATATTTCACCGAGCCTGGACTGGTTGTGATTAAACACAGCAGGGACACTAGACAAGAATAGCTCTACATTTCAACGAGCATAGAATGGATGTGATTAAACACAACAGAGACACAAGACAAGAATAGTTCTATATTTCACCGAATCTAGACTAGTTGTGATTAAACACTCCAAGGGCACTAGACATGACTAGCTCTATATCTCACCGAGCCTAGACTAGGTGATTAAACACAACAGGGACACTAGACAAGAATAGCTCTATATTTCACCGAGCCTAGACTAGTTGTGATTAAACACAGCAGGGAGACTAGACAAGAATAGCTCTATCCTTCACCGAGCTTAGACTGGATGTGATTAAACACAACAGGGACACTAGACAAGAATAGTTCTATATTTCACCTAGTCTAGTCTAGCTGTGATTAAACACTCTAGGAGCACTAAACAAGACTATCTCTAAATCTCACCGAGCCTAGATTAGTTGTGATTAAACACACCAGGAGCACTAGACAAGAATAGCTCTTTATCTCACCGAGCCTAGACTAGTTGTGATTAAACACAACAGGGACACTAGACAAGAATAGCTCTATATTTCACCGAGTCTAGACTAGTTGCGATTAAACACACCAAGGGCTGCTTTATATCTCACCGAGCCTAGACTAGTTATGATTAAATTCACCAGGGGCACTAGACAATACTAGCTCTATATCTCACCGAGCCTTGACTAGTTGTGATTAAACACAACAGGGACACTAGACAAGACTAGTTGTGATTAAGTACAACAGGGAATCTAGACGTCTAACACCAACAGCGAATTCTCCATGAAGTACAGAGACAAAACCGACACAGACCAGATTCCTGACTTAGCACAGGTATACAATCATGTGGTGAAGTTCAAACAACCTATCTCCCTGAAAAATATTTATACTAATGGTTTTCCAGCATAAATCACGTGTTTCTGATTCACAGGTTCACTAGAGACCAAAGTTTGGAAAGCCAAAATTATTTTTTTTAATTATAGTAGGCACTGACCATTCATTGTATATTCGTGTCTATGTGTGTAATAAACAAAAAACTTTTTCAGCGAAATTTTTTAAATATCAATGCAGTTTTTATTTTATTTTTAACAAATTTCCTCATTCACCCCAAAAGATGCATGGTCGGTGTGTTAATATCCAACCCTCTTTGTTTTTATTTTTATTTTTAAAACCAAAATGTCTCTACGGAAACTTGTTATTGTTCATATCTTTGTCTTTATAGATACTTGACTTACTGGCAATCATACCACAGATTGTATGTCTGCAAACATTAAAAACCAGACAATCACTTATTAATATCATCACTAATATCATTTCTTTGGTATTCAAATAGTATTTATCTTTGGCAAACAATATCAGATTTACGTTGTGTATGACTGCAAAGCTGACCCATGTGACAGTTATTAAACGCTATATTACCTATTATATATCAAGGAAAACAATCATCAAATAATCATTAAATAAGTTTTTGTATCAGATATATATTATTAAAATCTTTCTGAACAACACTAGATGCTTTATTACTATTTTAATATGTAATAACCATCTGATTTCAGTATCAGCTAATGATCGTATACTATCATTGTCAATATTAACAGTAGGTAACATTGTGTCCATTGGAAACATTGCTGAATCTAGTTCGTCATGCACACTTTTTTGTTTTACAGTTGCCCTATATAGACATTTTTCACTCAAAATACATGACCCCCATGTAGCCATAAGCCACATGGACAATAACAAATACAAAGTAAATAGTGAAAGATGTTGCGTCATAAGATTCCCCATGTATAGTAAAGATGGCGAACCAGCACCTTATTTGTAAGGTTGCTTTTTCTTTTAAACATTAACGATAGGGGTTGACAGTATTTTTGACAGACGGACATAAAGACACGACAAATACCTTTGTCTCCGCAAATACATACATTTCTCTTAGTGTATTTTGTTTCATCTATCGCCTATGGGGTTAGACTACTGTAGGTCTTACCACGTGTTATCACACGATGCGATACAACATAAATAATCATCGCGGATGTTAATGTTTTTTTTTTAATATCACATCACAAAATTAGACGAAATATCCCATTTCAGACGTTTTTAAAGTTTTCGCTCCCCTTCCCCCAATTAAAGCTTAATATCTGGTCAAAATCAATTACTATCTTATGGTCTGTATATGTATATGCTAAAAATGATTTTGTTTGTGTGCAACTGTACAGATAGTGCGACTGTTTAAATGTCCCCTTGGCATCCCGAGGTTCTTTTTTAGGTAGTGCGACTGTATAGAAAAACACAATACTTACTCAATATACTCTCCGTGATTTTTATCCTCCGGCATGGCCATGAAGACACAGTTGACAATAATTGTTATAATCACAAGGGCATTAAACAGAGTCAAAAAAGTTAAGGAAACATTGAATAGATAGACATACATTAATTTATAGTTTTTAATTTAAAATTATGTTTGAGTACAGTAAATGTTTCATGATGTACTCTTTTAAAAAGAACTTTAGGCATATTTACATAATATCATATCAACGCATGTTGAATGCCTCAAAAAAACATGCGAAATTTTCAGGAAAAAAAAGAAAACCCTAATAAAATTAAAATATTCCAGGAGAAATAATGATTTTATCAATAAATTTTTTTATATGATATACAATTCAATAATTAATACATAGTTTAATAAGTAGGTTAGACGATACGTGATGTACGTTTCTTTACAGTTTTTATTGTACAACTAAGTTTCAGCATACATGTGTACATTTATAATAAAAATCTGTCATCATGCACCTCAAATTTTGTATAAAGTATGCAAACATATACGGAATTATACAGAACAATTATAATTAAAAAAAGGAATATGATTGTAGGAGTTGTGGCACAAATACATATAAATACCAGGTTTTGAGTTGTTCTTGAAAAGTGTCATAGTGGCAAAAAAGCACTCTCCCAGAGAAATATGACCAACGGTAAAATATGAAAACCGAATCAAAATACAAAAAGTCAATAAAAACTATAAACATTTCATTTCTGATATTAGTAGTTTCTCTTTTTCACTTAGCTTTGTTTAGCAGATAAAGTTTGAGACTGTGGATTTTTAAAATTTTGATTCCTTTTTGACATATGAAAGTGAATAAAATTATTTTTAACCCTTGTTTTCATCTAGGTAATACCAAGTTGCGCTTTGTAATTAATATCAAAATTACAACTGCATTCATCCCCAGGAATTTGTGATAAAATTTATTGGAAAAATAGATTAAAATTGTATTTTTTATTTGCTAGGTCGTTCAGGCATTATTAAGATGATATCGGTTTCCTTGACGCAACCTCTATTTAAAGTTAACGACTGGTTTATTTATAGCTTCATCCTACAGGAAATCGATATTGGTAGACTTGATTCCAAATATGATAAACTATATTAGCTAAGAATGCGTCTCACTCCGTTAAATGTCAACTCAAATATCGTACGACTGTGTAAATATGCATTGATCGAAGTGATATGATACAACATATACAATATTATTAGATCACCTCGTTACTAACGCTTTATATGCGCTAGAAATCTTTCAAAATGTACTGTATTTTAAATCATCATATAAAGCATTGGAATGCTAATTTAGCTGATGTATCCGTTGCATATAATAGTTCAGAAACTTTTGTTTGAAATTTTAACAGTGAGTTACAGTGATTAATATTGAGACTATACTTTTTTATTTTTACGTTTTTTAAGAGAAATCATATCGATCCTGAATTCTGTTAAACATTTCATCGATATTAAATCGAATTGTTGCAACCTTGTGAAAAGACGGCTATTTACTTCAGAAATCTAGGTTTGAATAAGATACAATTGTAATGTATTAAAATGTTTATGGCTATATTTTTTTTGTTATACCGTTATTCATGCAATCTTAAAAAGGATATGGATGAACTAATAAATATAAAGCTCCTCTTCGGAAAGGGTTGAAAGGACTCAGGAGAAACAGGGCATTTGTAGCACTAAATCGGTATATGGTTTTGTCTTTTCCTATAACACAAAATGTCTGAAATAGAAAAAAATGATAATTTAATGAAATGAGACGTCCAAGTGAAGATAGTAATAAATGAGTCGTTCTAGTGTTGCATCTCAAATGCATAGATTTACCTTGATTTTAATAAAAAATACGTAGAAGTTCATCCAGAAAAAATTAAGCGCTACAACTCAAATACTCCAGTTAATTCTTCGAGAAACAAGGAAAACAGAGGCACACGTTTTGCTAATTATTTGACGTTTACCCCACATTTCTTTTTTCATATAACTTCAGGATTCAAATCTTAAATCAATCTTTTTTAACATTCGTTCATTTTCATTATTTTTTAGGTTAACACGTCTCTCATTTCTTAAAACGCGGATTTAGAACACTATCAACGAAGTATATCGAATAGGTTTTAAATCAGCAATTTCTACCGTTTTGTCCTTGCTTTGTGCGTTTATTAAAATGTACTTGGTTTTGCAGACAGTAAGAAAGATTTAACCATGTTTCTTTATATCTGAGGTGATAGGAGGCAACTGTCCTAAACTTGTGAAACTGATATGTGTATATTGATTTATTCATTTGATATTCTTTATTAATATTTGTTCATTGAATTTGTATGAGATGTTCTCAGTAAAGTTAGTTTAAGCTGGATTCTTACATTCTGTAACCATCAAAATTTTGATCAACGTAGTCTAAGTATTTTAGTAATTTGATTTTATAATTCTAGTTCGGAAGGTTCGGGTAAAGGACAGGAAACATTCGTCTTCCTATTCCATTTGTAAAATATTTTGTTTTCAGAATATATTTCACAATGACATATTAAGGCATAAAGTTCTAGACAATGACTGCGATTTTTTTGTGTGTTGAAATTAGTTCTCTTACTCATTTTCTTTTAGTCGTATTTTTTTCGTTTTTTTCCATGGCGTTGTTAGTTTGTCTTCGACTTATGAATTAGTATATCCCTTTGGTTTCTCCTACCTCTTTTTCAGTATCTGTGAGTACTCTGATCTATACTTTGTGTCCGCTGTCTTTTTGTTTATTGTGTTTTGTGCTTCAAGCTAATCCGACGAGCCAATCCCTTACAATCTGATTTTTACAGTTTGTTCGTATGTTGACATGTGCTGTTATACCACTGTCCCTGGTCAGTTGGAGGATTTAGCGTTAAAAACACATGTTTAATTCCGCCGAATTCTTTATGTGTGGATCCTAAATCAGGAACATGTTATTTTGTTGCTACCGTTTGTTTTCTGCCTGCATGTGTGTTCTATGCTTATTGTTTTAGCATATGTTAGGCCGTTTGTTTTTTTTTTTTCGTTTGAATTGTCTCGCATTTTAACATACCGGTGTCTTTTGTCGCTTACTATATAGTATGGGTTTTGCTCATTGTTGAAGGCATTATTGACCTATAGTTGTTTAAATCGACTTCCTTGGTCTCTGATGGATTGTTGTCTTATTGGCAGTAATACCATTTCGTCTTACTTTCATATGTATATATAAGTGTCATATAATGTTATTCAAAATATATATTCCTTACCATATGTGGATCATAATACTCATCAAGGTCTTCTATTGGTTTACCGACAAATTCTGGAGGAAAGTCATCAATCAATTCTCTAGGTAGTTTCTTACCAGCCTCAAATTTAGGTTCTGGTTTGGGTTCTTCTTCATGGTGAGGTAATTCCTCCTCCTCTCCCTCTTCAGCCGCCTGTTTATCAGCCTTTTTAATAGCCTTTAGATCATTAATATTGGCGTGAATGGTAGCCAGAGATTCTGGGGTGAAGAGGACGAAAGGGGATGTATCTTCTTCTTCCTCCAGCATATCCATGATGAATGTCAGTTTGACCTACTGTTATCTACACCATTTTCTGTAAAATACGAAAAGGAATACAATCGAATGAACATTATTTTTGCTTCTTCGTTAATTTACTTCAATAAATTTAAATGTAAATGGCAACACTTTAAATACCAAAAAAATAGATTTGAGATTTTTCGTATTTAATATCTTTTCTTTACTTGAAAATCTTTCGTTTGTCTACTAATTATGATTGATAAACAGTTTCTGTTCATTTATTTCATAATTTAGATTCAACAAAACAAATTTGTCTGAAAAACATTTTACTAAAGTAATACAATCTCTACAATTCATATTTGTACTTGGCATGATGAATCTGCTTGTTTATTCCCCATATTAAAATACGTAATATCATAGAAAAATAGAATGAAGTTTTCACTTATAACAATAACTTTCTAAAAACGAGGAATTACCATTTTTATGGTCTGAAAATTACCCACAAGAACCAAGTACAACATATGAAAACCTATGTTCTACAAAATAGTCAATACTTATAAATTAGGATATGTGTTCAAATGATGTAAAAATATGAAGATACCAATTCAAGGGGTAAAGTATCAATTGGAATATAATTATATAATCTTAATACATGTTCAGCAACTTCTAAAAAATGGTACATCAAAATGAAGCAATATTGAACAATTTAAGCCAACGCTTTTGTCGTTCAGTTATGTTTTTTAAACAGACCTTCACTGTGAAATTATATTCCGAGTATATAGGTGTAAGTCAAGATACGAAGCCGTCCTAACTCTGTATAAGGTATGCTTTAATTGAATTTCAATTGGATAGATGAAACTATAAACATCGTCGGCAATCATGCATTATGGAATAATATAATCATTCAATTTGCGAGTAAGCAATACTGCTCCTCCGATACCGTGTAAAGATTCACATGACACACGCGTAGACTGTTCAAGTACTAAAAGACATTATTATCATTCAATAAGTATAACAAAAGCTTAATATACAAGCATTGGTGAATGTCACCTAAATTGTTGAAAAATATTCATGTTGTTTATGGTACTTTTCATATAAAAAAAAATTTGTCAATGAATTTCATAAAAAATAAAATATTACACAACTGTTTAAATACATAACCTGTTCTAGCTTTTGCTTTTTGTAAGAGGTCAAATTAATAGCGCCGAACACACCCGTCGTGAATCCATGGGTGTCAATTAAAGCTGTCCTTCGACCGAGCTATGTAAATGAACATTTTTAATTATAACTTAATTGAAATGACAAATACATTGTATAAAAAAGGCTTATATGAAAATTAAAATAAACTAACACCTATTTGTATTGGCGAGTGGGTGTTAACCAAGAAGAAATTCCCGCCACTCCAGTTGAATTTGGATTTTGTGTTTCTTTTAGAAGCTAGCCAATACAACTTTTCTACAAAAATTTGTGCATATACTTCAAAAAACATTCAAGAATGAAACGTGTTTGCAAAAATACTAAGCAAATAGTAAAGAGAGAAAATGTATAAACATCGTAAAAAATTTAAATAAATGTCTTTTAAATCTTTGTGTTGTTTGTTTGCTGTCTGACTCTCGTTGATTTATTCACATACATGTATATTATTTCATTCATACATATTGTTCCAGTACGACGTAAGACGCAGTATATTGTAAATGAAACTTCCAATGGAGTAGTGCAGGTAGTAAAAGTCAAATATGTCACAGTCATAATATTAGTTATCTTGGTGTAATCAGGGGTGTACAGAATTTTACACCGTTGTTGAAAATTCATACACCCTGAGGCGCAGCCGAATGGGTGTATGAATTTTCAACAACGGTGTAAAATTCCGTACACCCCTGATTACACCAAGATAACGAATTTATTTCTTATGAACAATTCCTTTACTCATTTTTAAACCAGGATGTAAAATTGAAAAATGGTAATGAAAAATTTCCAGTGTAACATTTTTTCAACGTCGATGTTGATGCGCATTATTAAATACTTTTTTTCTTTATTTTTGGGAAAATTCAGAAAATTTTTGTGTTCTTTTGAGTTTTCGGGGAAAATTTTTTTTTAAATATTTAAAAAAAAAAAATTTAAATTTTTGTCCTCAAATATTTTTTTTTTTTTTTTTTTGACATTTTATTATATTTTTTTTTTTTTTTAATTTAATTTAATTTTTCTTTATTTTGGCAAACTTTTATTTTTTTTCAATTTTTTGGCAAAATTTTATTTATCCCGGGGTGAACAAGGGTGGGGTGTTATTTACACCGGGGTAATTAACCAATCAGATTGCAGTATTTTTGCTGCATTAGAAATAATATGATTTAGATGTCTTTATGTCTATTATGACAAAATACAAATTCCCACATCTCATCTTGTGCGTATCCTAACCAACATTAACACAAACTTCCAAATTTGTTTCATCATGTTGTAATGGAAACAATCTTTGGTAAGAAATATGTAGTAGTTTCAGATAAAAGTGATCGATTATATTTTATATAAGAAGCAAGTGCTTTACTTACTAACATCGATTTTGTTTTCAATAAATTAAAGCATTAGTTTGTATGTATTGCTATACAGCTATGAACACTTGTTTGCCTATATCGTGTCGATACTTAAATTTTGACATTGAACAAGGTCATGCTTTTCTCAGGCTTTTTATAATGTCTTTACACTAATTACTTTGGATGATTACTGATTGATATTTAAGTCTAGCTATATGATTTATTTGTTAGTTGTAGTAATATTTGAACTAAAGTGTTCTGTAACTGTTAGTCTCTTAGTCTTTTTGTAAGTTGCATTTATACTTCGTGACGATCAGATGAGTCAAGCCCTTTCCAACTGATTTTTACAGTCTATAATGCTGTTACACCATTGTCTCTGGTCAAGGGGAGGTTATACGCTAAGAAAATTATTAACCCTGTCACATTTTTAATGCATCTGCCCCCAAGTCAGGAACCTGTAATTTAGCGGTTCTCGTTGATTGCTGCATGTAAATATTTGATTTTAGACTATTATTGTAGCATAAATCAGTTCTCTGGTTTTTTCGTTTGAATTGGTTCACATTTTTTCATGCCGTGGCTCTGGGTTTTTCTCATTGTTAAAGACTGAACGGACTGAATTGTCTCTATTGGCAGTACTAGTTGTGTCTATAGACAAGATGTATTCAATATATTTCTTAAATCGACCAACTAATACACCAGCCATCGTCTGTATGACCGTCCAAGTTGTCTCTCTGATAGACGGTCCAAAATGTCTCTATAGACGGTAAGTGTTGTCTCTTGTCCGAGTTGTCTTGTTATCGGGCATGACTGGGTTTCATTTTGAAGTTTGTGAAGAGTTCCAGGAAGGCGTGACTAGAGGCAAGGTGCATGAAATGTTTTTCGGAAAAGACTCAAAATTGTACGGAATATTCTGTTTTACTCATGAGCAAACAGTCCTGTATGATTTGAAAATAATAGAGGTTAAATGAATTTATTTTCATAACAATTCTCGAAAGATTTTAACTTAGTATAGTATTCCGTAAGTGTTATCGCTATTTGCAAGTAATTTCTTAATAAGCAACAAAACTAGTATCGTGATAGTTAACTCAAGCGCTTCTTGAAACAAGCGTTTTGGAAAAAGGATGTACTGATTGCAAATCAAGGTTACCACTCCCCTTGCTTGTTGTCCGTTTCATTTAATCATAGATAATATTAATTTAAAGACATCTAGATTTAAAACAAGGTATATAGTCAATTATTTCTGTTTATTATTTTCTTTATATTGAAAGACCCGTTGATACTATCAAAGTTTTCTTTAAACAAGAAAACTTTGTCAAAGTTTTTAAAGGATTTTTTTATAGTGACAACCGTCAATAAAAGCTTTCATCAAAATCTTTGACGGACTTCGATGGAATATAATCTCATTTTTTAGTGCAGTAGAGGAATGAAACCATTGTTGTTTACTTAAAAAAAGCAAAAGGTGGGAAAGAAGGATGAGTTCCAGTTAGAGTTAAGGAAAATTGCTAGGAGTAAATGAAATTATAGATGATTTATTAAAAATTTTTTCGATTAGTGGTTCAATTAACCAAGAAGATTGAATGTTGCTTTGTCCATTTTAAAACAATGCCTGAATTCGGCCGGGCTTAGGAGCGGAATGTACTTCTTTGTTTTCTTTTTAGCAACCAGTTTTTGTCCCTATTCTTCCCACTCATGTACGATTTCTAATCTGCTTTCTCCCTGTGGTAATGCACAGAATGCACAGTGAAAGTCCAATGCAGTCATTCTGTGGGACAATTATATCAATTTTCTTTGTAAACATTGAACTCCCTCCTTTTGTTTGACGAAGTTTAATGAAAATCTTTGATAGTAACAGTAGATGACTTTGATCAAGATTTCTTGTTCAAAGTTTGCTATGGCCAAGTTTTTGATGGAACACCTTGATAGTCACAACAGGACTTAACTTACACCTGCCTTTAAAATATGATAAAAGAATATTATGAGGGGAAAAAACAGACAGTTTCAATGTAGTGGTAGCCCGCAGTGGATCCTATGTAATGCCTTTTATTATCTTATTGTTACAACCTTTAATGACAATAGTTGAAAAACATTTAGACACCAATATACTAATACGTGTATGTATTTTTGATGTTTTAAGCAATTTTAAGTACCAGACAGAAACATAAAGAACTAATAACAAGTTAACCCATAGAAGACTAAAGGTTATCTAATAAACTGAATATACTCGGAGGATTACCACCAATTAAAACAATGCATATATATGTAATCACTCGTAACATTGACAAGATAATAACATAAAATGTAATGAAACTGAACATAAATGAACCAGGAAAAAGACATTTAAAGTGTATCAAAGTATCATTATTTCAACCATTAACTCCATAAAATTGATTTTCTGCACAATAAAATTACGTAATGGAGAAATTCTCAATGGTCATTTACAATGTTTAGAGTAAATTGATTACTTTAAGCAGATAATCCGCCAGGGAAAAACTGTTTGCAGACATCATAATCTGATGCTGTTGTAACTGTTTGCAGACATCATTATCTG